AGGAAGAAGTAGTCAGTAGTAAATGCTTGATACGCAGAAGTTGCAAACGGCAGACTTATCAGGGGCAACCAACGTCAATTTTTGGAAAATATCTGTTCGGAAGACGATTTGAGATCTTGAATTTTCGAAACATTTGTCGTAAAATTTCTTGCTTGCCTGCTCCCCCTAGGATTTTCGAACATCTACATTTTTAACGGATTTGTACCTTAAAAAGGTCACCTAGAATTTTCGGGAGCCTTTTTTCTGGCTGAAATTTTCGAAAAGGTTACTTTTGATCTCTATAATTTTCGGATCACTAGACTTTCGGCCAGGAAATCCGAACAGATGAAAAATTTTTAGGAGATAAAAATATGCCTATATCTACCGATCAAATACTAAAATACGTTCAAAAATGCTATGTTTAATTGGTTTTGAACTGTATTCTCGTTGGGTGTCCCTGACTTATGCCCTTTGCACATGCTTTGCGCGTGTTTTGCGCAGAAGGGTTTCGTCGTGCAAACCAGCCCTAAATGGCTAGTTGAAATTAAAAGTTGTAATCATAGCTCTTTTTTCTTACTTTTAGTTCTTTTAGTCGAAATGTAGCATTTTTCATTTGTTGTGCAGGTCGTAATTCATCAGTATTGCTTAACTAGCCTTCGTATCATAACGTCTGGATGGTACAAGCTTCCGTTAATCATTTAAGTCAAAAGAGTGACCAAAGTCAATTTTCTCCCAACAATATAAATACATACAGTAGAACCTCAGTGACTCGAACTCTCAAGGGAAACGAAAAACAGTACGAGTTAGAGAGGAATTCGAGTTATCGAAAATGTCGTGAGAATTGATAAAGTGATCACGTGATGAGACAAGCTTTGATCTGCAAACAAATTCTCTTAACCAATTCTTTAAAGAAATGTATGTAGATCAGTCTGGAGAATTAGTTTTTGGATACTGGGGCTTGAAGGGTTAAACGAGATGGAAAAGACGTGCGGAAAGCTAAAAGTTATTTTGTTTATCTGCACCAATAGTTGCCACTACTTACCCCTCCCTTGCTAAGAAATTTACCGTCACCTCTCTTTCCCTACCTTGTCTCTCCCCGTACACACTTCTCTTTTAAATGGAAGTTTGAATTCTTTGAAGCTATTTCATTTTATAGTTAAAAATAAATTATATAAATTATATTTTAATGAAAAAAGTATTAAAATAGTTGCAAGGGAAGCGGGAAGTTAAATGACGTAACAACTTGTGGCTATTTTTGTCGAACACTCATAGTTAATTGTGCCCTCATAAACAACGTTTTCTCATTATTCAAATCATTGCCGTAAACCAAGAAGGAGTGTGAAGTTCAGCATCCCAAACAAGAGTTAAAGTGTCTTCTTATTTCGACTATTTCGAGGTGAGAGAGGTGATGTCAGTACCTTTGAAAATTATTTCATCAATTTAACCTCGTTGCCAAATTGAAGACGTTTGATTATTGCAAGATACTTAGCCGGCGGCTCACTGGCTTTGAGCCCGGAAGAAAACCTGCAAAAAGCGCGGTAACTGCTGTGATCGCTTCAGATTTTATTTTTCTAGTACATGAGCTTTTATCAGGGGTTAAACCCAATTCTTTTGATGGATGTCCTTTCTTAAACTCCCCTTTGACGCAAATATTTGAATTGATCAGAATTATGAAAACCTAGAAAATCATTAAAAGCTTTTATGCAAATAAAAATTTCCGACAGCATTATTATTGGGCACTCGGCCGTCATAGTCAACAAGCTATTCGAATTTCTCTTAACCTCCTATTGAAGCTTTCGACTCGCTGCGAACTAATCTCCCCTAATTTTGTAGTTTATGTTGTCAAAAACTGCACGAAATCTTTTGATAGAAACCGACACGTAACTGGCGGATAAATTTTCATAGGCACCCAGCGAGAATAGAGTTCAAAACCACTTAAACATAGCATTGTTAAAAGTATTTTAGTATTTAAACGATAAATATAGGCTTATTTTTATCCCCTAAAAATTTTTGATCTGTTCGGATTTCTCAGCTGAAAGTCTAGTATTCCGAAAATTATAGGGATCGAAACATACCTTTTCGAAAATTTCAGCCAGAAAAAAGGCTCCTGAATTGAAAATTCTAGGTGACCTTTTTAGGATAAAAATCCGTTACAAATGGGCAGTTGTACCATTTTTTAGATGTTCGAAAATCCTAGGTGAGACAGGCAAGCAAGAAATTTTACAGCAAATGTTCCGAAAATTCTAGATCTCAAATCGTCTTCCGAACAAATATTTTCCGAAAATTGACGTTGGGTACCCCTGAACTTTTTTCGAGTAATGTACCTTTATATTTGTTCTCCTCATCTGTATCCGAAAACTCAGTGAAACTTAGAAGCAAAGGGGACCTATTTTACATCATGTAATTAAATCCTGGGACTATAAGCGCGAACACTGACCGCGAACGTTTCCTAGTTCACCTTGAGTGACTCTTCTTCTGAATTACAAAGTGAAGTTTTTCGCCATGCATGCAGAAAGCGTTTAAAGAGGCTGCCATTTGGTTTGCAGCACAAAACTAACGGTTGTTGTCCGGTACCTTCGGAATTCAACGGTACGCTTAGCCTGTTGTCTGATTACACTGTTATTGCCGTATTTCTGTGTGTTACTATTGGGATACTTAAGCAACCCCCATAACGGCAGCAAAGAGAACGTCAAAAAATATTTTTGTTCCAAATCCACTGCCCAACGTCGACGTACTAATAAGGAGTTTTATGGAGGACGTAAACACACAGAACCCTTCTCTGTTTAATACATGTATAAAGCTGGAGATGGTCCTTAAAAATTCAACCATTTCGCCTTAAATTTGACGATCAAATTGAATGAGGTTTAATAAACGCAATGACGTTTTCAAGAACTAAAATTAAATTTTAAAGTAAATTTTCACTGCCGTCGTTGTTGTGTTTCCTAATGTATTAAGAAAAAATAAGGAAATCATCAACCATTATTGAGGGGGGCGTTGGGATTTTTCGTTTTGGCCATTTTTTAGGTCGGTTTGTCGGTTTTTGCACTGAAAACTTCGGTTTTTAGGTTTTGTTATCCGTTGCGGTTTCCGGTTTTTCGGGTTTCTTAACATCCGGTTTTTTGGTCAAAAATAAAGCAGGTTAGATTCCACTGTGGGTCTCTGTGCAGTCAGATGTTAGGCTATTTTATATGTGTCTATTTTACAGGCAATTCAGGTCAAATTGCAATGTGGGATTCTAGATTGTTGATTGAAGTTTACAGCTATAGAAGAGCTTTTAGCGAACGCGAAATTTCCCTCAGACTTCTCTCGTTGTTCTCTATTGCTATTCAATCGAGGATCTTTGTGAATTATCCTAGACTATCCTAGGACACAGCATACTGTGATGATATTAAAATCTTGATGTGATATTGTTTAGACGCCAAAATTGGAGAACAGCTCCCCAAGTCTACCAACAGATGGCCGACAGATTTGGGGGGAACTGTTCTTCAAATTTCCCGTTTGGTGCCTGTGTTTCACCCGTCATTAACGTTTGACATCTAGAGTAGGGTTTTGAAAATTCAGCTGTATAAATCTTCGGTTATGATGGTTTTGTATCGAAATCTATCGCCGTTTTTTCGGTTTTGGGTAACTTTTAGAGCGGTTTTTCGGTTTTTTATAGACCCCAACGCCCCCCTCACCATTGTTCTCGTAAACATAAGTCATTAGTTATTGGGTATTGAAGCCAAGTAGGATGCACGTAACTTCGTCTGTTTACATTGATTTATTATTGTAAAGCACACTGATAATAACGGTCAGTATAACTTCAAAGTCTTCAAAGACGTGAGCAAACCATGTCAAATTTGTTGTGGAGATGTTGTGGTGCACACATTTTTGTAAAAAATATTTGTCCTTCATTAAACAACGCATTGCGTTGATGAAAGTTTCAGCGTAAATTGATTGTTTCCTATTATGTGACAAGGCGGCATTGCTGGAGGACAAAACCTTTTTTTTCGCAAAATCTGCATGAAAAAGCGTGTAAGTATCCTGTGAAGGAAACCAGTTTTTCTCGTCCACCAGCAGTGACCGAGTGACATCAGCTGAAAACTAGCATTATTAAAAAGTAGCACGCGACTATTTTAGCAATTTGACTGACATGTTTTGGCAGAAATTTGTGCCTTCTTCACTGTAAATTTGGAATGAATTACAATAGGTGGAATACAGTTGTCTAGGAAACCGATTATAATTGCCCTCACGAAGATATTCCCCAGAGTCAAAATGGAGGCTTTCTCGTAGTCCGCACGTATATAGAGAAGAATGAAAAGTAGTAGCTACAGTTGCGGGGTAAAGTTGGCATATCAGATCAAATCTCGAGTTGACCTCTTTAACTTAATTGTATGTTTTGTTTTGCCAATGCAGGTCATGTGATAATAGCGGAGCTCTTGCGCGCGTGAAACGGAGCACCATGGCTAAAAAAATATTGTAATTTATGCTTCTGAGAAATTACATCCACCCGTTCATGTTAGCAGATGCCAAATGCCACGCTCTAATACTATCTGTGTAAAACTTGGTATTGGACATCCATGTTGTGATCAATTGACAGCTGTTAAAAAGGGGTATCTGCTGACCAGTGTCACATGACTGCATCGTGGGCTCAGGTATACAACTCATGGAAGTGAGGAAATTTTTTAAAGTTATCCGCTGACCAGTTGTTCGTTTTTAATTGATCGCCGGCGCAGGTCGATTTTTTTGAAGGTAGAATTCAGTTTGCTCTCTACTTACGGCCAAAGTATAATTAATTGAAGACGACATTTCCTAAAGCATCCTTCGAGAGCTTCGCTTTCGGCCTTGGCTAAATCTATGTATTACAAATTTAAAGTAAGGGGCACACATACACCAAACCATGTCACGGCCTGGCCCAGTACCTCACGCATGCGCACAGCCATATAACCCGGGCAGTGGCAGCCATTGACAGCTGTTTTACCCTTCCTGGGATTCATCAGCATGGCATAGCCGTCGGGTCAATAAACGGGGGAGAATATGCCATGCTGATGAGCCCCAATACAGGCGAAACAGCTGTCCATGGCTGCCACTACTCGGGTGATATGGCTGTGCGCATGCGTGAGGTACTGGCCAGGCCATGGGTTGGTGTATGTGTGCCCCTTGCGTTAAGTTTGTCATGTGATAATACCCTAAAAAAACTCTTTCTTTCAGTTTTTGTTTTATTCACATGCATATTTACGAATGATTAGTCGAGCTTGCTTAAGCAGAGCGAGAGTCTAAAAATGCAAGCTTTTTTTTTTGTGTGTGTCGGTCGTAATGGGGGACCATGCTCCCAGGCGTTCCTAGAAGAGACCCTGGAAGCTGGGGGTAAGAATCGAGACGACTTTCATTGTATGCAAATGAGTCTGGTGATGAGAATGCTGTTTAATTTTGGCGATGACTGAAATAACGCTTAATGTTTGTCACGTTTTGGTTCTTTGGCAAAGTTTTCTTCTGTGCAAGAAATCACGCTTTATTTTTTTTTCGATAGAACAGGTTACCTTTCATGCTTATATGACGTAGCGAGGCGATAAAACCGCAAGTGCAAAACATCTCTAGAGAGCTATTTCTAAATTTGATCTTATGGTAATTTGGTTATGACCATCACGTGCGAAAAATTAAAAACAGAGCTGAACGTGATAATAAGGACAGTTTTGTAAACACGTCTATGGGGTCATGGTAGCGCAGAATCTGGGGATGAGAATCGGCACGATGCTCTCATCATCTGCGAGTTTCGAAAACAACGTACAATTTTCATAATGCTGTTTTGAGAAGAAAATGTGAAAGTATAAAGCATTATACGTAATGTCGCTTACACACCCACACACCATTCGTGGTAGACCCACAATAAAAGTTGTCGAACGCTATGGGTCGCTATGGGTTGTTCCACGAATTCTGTCGTTTGAAAGCGTTAATAACTTTAAAAGAAGTGATTACATGAGAAAAATACTCGACCGTCGTTAAAGTAAGATGAGGAAATATTATAGCGGGAAATCCTGTTTTGTGGTGAATTGAGGCGTTACGTTTCTCAGAATATTGTCGCAATTGCTGAAACTACGGTTAAAAAGATTTACTTTGTTGTATGCATTTAATTGCTAGATTTTCGCAATTGTTAAGATGTGAAGTCGCATTGCTTAATAAATACTTGAGATATCAACTACTACTAGAAGCAACTTCAACTACCGCGTCTTACGTTACCTACGTGTCACAGATGTGTTTATACGGGTGCCTTTGTACTTAACTGTCACGTACTCTACTTGCAGCACTTTATGTCCATAGAATGGAAATCCCATGTCGAGCTTTTCCAGAATGGCTTGTTCCACGAATTCTATCACTTGAAAGCGTTGATTAATTTGGAACAAGTGATTACTTCAGTGCTCGAAAAAAAGAACAATCTTAATGAGCAAAACGTCGATGGTGAGGCTAACTGGTAGGGTGTAGTAAACTTTCATTGCATGCAAATGAGTCTTGAGATGAGCATACGGTTTATTTTCAGGGACAAGAGTCATAATTTTTTTTATGGCTCTTGTCGGGGATGATTGAAATATCACAAATCGTCGAACACGGTATGAAAAGTAAATATCCTGAAGAATACTCGACCGTCGATAAAGTAGGAATTGAAAACTTTTAGCAAGGAGATCATGTTTCTTGTATAGTTAATCGCCTCCTATACCACCTAGACCGCGAGCAGCCTTATTTTTCTTTTGAGTCACAGTAGGTCGAGAACTTAATTTTACTGTTACTGTCATTTTTCGCTCGCCACGCGTGGCTCTGAGGAAAGAACGACGACGGCTCGCGTTCTAATCGCCTCCTCATTTCTTATCTTATCTCCAAGCAAGCGAGAATCAAAACTACTAGGAGCGTTCTTGTTTATGAAAAGACAAAGGGGCAAATTCCCTTGAGACCTTACTTGGGAAAGCCAAACATACAAGCTAAAGAGGTCTTTTGCCTGAACATGGCCTCACGGAATCGATGGGTAATGCTGGCTTGTAGCATTATTAAATACAGGAATGCAATAAAAACAATGTCACTATTTGAAGGGAGATCGGTTATTCAAACATTCAACAAAGGTAAAATCATTAAACTTATTCTCTTTTGTTACGAAACCATGAGTTGTCGTCTTCAGGTCTTCGCATCCAAAACAACGATTTTTCTTACTTCGGCTTATCACCCCTTGAAAGAGAATACAATCTTGGATTCTGGATTCCTCGCCAGGGATTCCGGATTCTAAGTACTAGATTCCAATTTGGAACTTGAATTCCCGATTTCAATCCTTTGTGGGATTCCGGACTCCTTGAACTGTATTCCGGATTCCACAAGCAAAAACTCCAGGATTCTGGAATTCCTTTACATGGTGCTAGACATACCGTATAAATCCAATAAAACACTTTTCTTAATTTTGCCAAGGGAACTTGATTCCAAACATATGTCCTCCAATAAGTAGCCCTCAAATTATTTAACAAAAGGTAGAATAATGAATAGGAATACGTTAAGCTTTACTTCATTGGCCCTCATTACAGAAGGTTTTAATTTATTAACTTATTAACTGCAAATCTGCATGGCATGTCACTGTACGGTTAACAAAGGCGGATTTAAGGAGGGTGGGCTGGATGGTTCAGATGCTATCAGTGATGAGTTTAGTGTTTTCTGGGCGCTGATTACACCATTAATAAGATACTCGACGGGTAAACATGTTAAACAAGAACGCTCTCACTGTGTCCTTCAGTCTAGATTGCTTGGAGATTAGATTGGAAATAAGGAGGCGATTAATTGTACAAGAAACAGGAATTACTCGCTAAGGATTTTTTACTTCCTATTTATCGTCGTCGATAAATTTATTTGTTTCTGAATTAATTTAGTACGCATGTTAGCGACGACCAGAAATTCGTCTGCGGTCGCAGACTATGCGCGTGTATAAATACACGAAAATTCAAGGGCCTCGATTCCAGAGAAATTAAATCATTGCCAGAGATCAAAAGAGTGATTTACATGGCACGTCGTTTCAATGATCGCCGAAAATAAACTTCATGCTCATCACAAGACCCATTTGCATGAAACACCCGACCATCGCAGTTTTGCTAATTAAGATTCTTGTTTTTTTTCGACCACTCAGCAGTGTTCACCTGCTCCAAAGTAACCAACGCTTTGAAGCAATAGAATTCGTGGACCGACACGTTTCGGAAAAGCTCTAAATTTAATCTTTCCTAAACTTTCTTTGCAAAACATGTGTGGCCTTGATCACGCAACGGTTCTTATTCCCAGTTTCCACGGTCTCCTCTAGGAACGCCTAGCACAATGACTCCCCTTTTGTGTCCTAAATACGAAGTAAAACGCGTTGCAGATTATAGTTTTGCTGCCTACGCAAGCGAGGCTAATTAAAAAAAATGTAGAAAAGATGATATCAACGGAAACTTCCCTGTTTAAACACAAAGATGTGAACTTAATTTTCCGTATCTTTTTAACATTTTGGCAAAGAAAAATGTGGAAGGACAGTCAAGTTTCATTTTTATATGCGGCAAAATGTAAGCTGACATTTTCTTTCTATTTTTGTTTTTTATGGTAGTTGAGAAAGCACGAGATGAGCGAACCAAGTAGTTCCACGGAGCCAACACTTGCAGAGGAAGACGAGCAGCAGTACGATGAACAAGACGTCGATACTTCCATAAAGATAGCAATGATTTGTATTTACGTCATCATCCTCATGCTCTCATTGGTTGGTAACTCTCTTATCATCCATCTTGTGCGCACGCGCAAGAATATTCGAAAAAACCAGTTTTACTGGCTTATCTTCAACACAGCTCTTGCTGACCTCATAGATGTCTTAACGGCTTGTGCCTTTTCGATGCCATACTTTATGTTTGGAGACCGATGGGGGCTAGGAGGATTTGGAACTGCTATGTGCAAGATAATTCCATTTTTGTTGGTTGTGTCCATTTGTGCTGCCATCTGGACGCTTACAGTCATTGCTGTCGACCGATACCTGGTGATAGTATGTCTCCGAAGAAGAGCCCTGTCATCCCGATCAGTGCTGCGTTCCCTTATCATTGTTTGGCTGTGTGCTATAGTGGTTGGTAGTGGACAGCTCTACAAATACAGAACCTTAGAAGATGATGATGGAATACAATACTGTGTTGACGAGTGGGACGAGGATTCGGTGGAGACTTCTATGCTTCTCTACAAAACGGAAATGGTCGTGAGAGTCATCATCACCTATGCAGTTCCACTTGTCGTCATGGCAATCTTGTATTTCCTGATCGCCAGATTCCTGTGGAAGCGCAAACCACCGGTGAGTGTTAATCAACAAGCTTACATCAACCAAGTGAGGAAACGTAAGACGGTGATCAAAATGTTGATAACAGTTGTCACAGTGTTTGCACTTTGTTGGCTTCCTGTTCATGTCGGTCATGTGATGTCTGAGTTTTACCCGGATGCTTACTACAACACTCCAAGTGTGGTCAGGTGGCTGTTCTTTTGGTTTGCTCACGCTAATGCTGCAATTCATCCCTGGTTGTTCATTGCTTTTAGTGAGCACTTAAGAGAGGGGACGAAGGAAATACTTCGAAAAATCTACAATACCGAACAACTACGATTGCGTTCCGGTTCCACGCCAAGCATAATTACCAATGAAGATCCTATGTCCAGGCCTATTACTCCAAAACGAAACTCACGCACTACCACTACAGAAGATACTCTTTAAGCCATTGTTGTATAAACTTTATAAAGCATCCATGCAGATCTTGGAGGACCTCCACTCCAAGTAGGTTCCCTTTTAACAGGAACTGTAGGTACTCGTAACCATCAAAAACAGTTCTAGAAAAACGGTTCTGGTTTAGTGCTGCCAATCAATTTGGTTCAAGTTACAATTTTAAGAGACTGATGGACGTTTTGAAATAACAAATGCTGCTCTCCCTGTGCTTTGTCATAAACCCATTTTTGACGGGGCTGTGTCATCAATATCAGTGGAGCCAGATTCGCCAGTGGGACTGGGCACTAAATGGAGCACAAAATAAGAGACGAAACACTTAAAACGCCAATTAAGGAAGATTAGAAATGACGCAGTAAATAATAAAAAAATAGATTTGAAGTGGAAGATTCGAAAACCATTCAGCTCAACAGTTTTTCAAAGTTCATCTTTGTTGATTGTAAATTCAAATAATTATACACTCTCTTTGGACATAATTGTCATCCAAGAAGCTGCAATTTTGTCGTTGTGAAATAATTTCTTCGTTCAAGGTGAGCACTGTAGCAAATAAGCCCGGGTTATTTGCAAAAACGAACTACTAGATTAAGTAAATTGTTTATAAAAGTTAAGTTGTGTAGCGAATAAGCGTGAGTTATTTGCAAAAATGAATTACAAGACTGTCGGAAAGCCGCTTAGTCAGGTAAACTATTCTGAAAAAAAAAAAAAAAAACAAAAGAAAGGGATCAGTGCTACACATGTACATTATATGCCGAGCTATGAAAACTTTAAGGTGTAATGGATTGAAAATCACTATTAATATGCATTTGAAACCTCCACCTGAGTTTAGTAGGTCGCAAGAGACATATCTTAAAATTTTGATTTGGCTTTCAAGTGCATTGTTCAGCATTGATTGTTAGAGAAGCATATCGGCATGTAACAATACCGGGATAGAACAACAGGAGGACCGGAATTAAGGTCTATCGAGCAATAAACGATGGGAAACATATTTTAAAAGTACAAGTAGAAGCTTTTAAATGAAATTACCCTTATGAGAAGTTCTTGTAATGTATTTGCTAGCTTTTTAGACATTTAACTCCGATCTGAGTGTGCTATCGAGACGGTCAGACTGAATTTTTTTACAGATTAATGCCGCTAAAATGCAAGCTATTGCCATTGGTCTGTCTTCATACCAGTACGAATTCCATCCTAATGATTCTAATGTCCATACGAAGGATACACTTAAAATCCTAGGAGTGGTCCTAGATAGTAAATTAACATTTAAAGCGCACATAAAGGAACAGCTGAATAAGGCCTGCGCAAAGGCTTCGGCTCTGCGGAGAATACGTAAGTTCATTTTAAAGGACGTATTAGTTCGTCTCTACAAGGCTTATGTTCTCCCTCACCTAGAGTACTATAGTCCCCTTTACTGGGAGTAGGCAATGCGGAGACTACCAAAATAGAGACAACTAATTATTTTATATTAAGAACTATATTAGGCTATTCGAAGTCTGTGTCATATGACTTCCTCCTCAAGATGGCTGATATCAAGTCCTTGGAGTAACGTAGGCAATTCCAATCTTTAGTTATGTTATACATATGCTTGTATGACAAGGGGGCACCTTATATCAGTGAATTTTTTAATTTTAAGGATGTACCGTACAACTTACGTGGGCTGAGCACAAGGCTAGATCTACCTCCCTTTAATCTGGAGTTTATGCATCGATCCTTTACATTTTTAGCCAGCAAACTTTGGAATGAGTTACCTCCAAAAGTCAGAGAATCACAAGACATTACGTCATTTAAGCGATCTCTTAAAGCTCACATGGCTTAGGGTGTACTGCTTGTAAATTTTGTAAATAGCTTTAGTTTTAGATTCTGCTTTTAGCCATTTTGTAGATCTATTTATAGCTAGTATTTTTACAGTAGTTATGTATAGGTTGCTAGCATAATTTTTTTTTATTTTTTAATTTGTATACACGTACACGTGTTAACGAGAACTGTAGTGTTCGTGGGTGTTACGTGTTTAAATAAAGGATTTGATTTGATTTGATTTGAATGCATTATAAATTAAGTGACAAATGAAAGATTGAAAAGTTTGAAGGTTTTTCTTACATAACGGTTCTTACTGGAATGTAATAACCTTGTACCTGGAATAACTTTGTGCTATAACAAAAGCTTATTAAATAAACTGGCCATTGAGGGAGCTCTTTGTTTTCCTTTTAACCCAAACTTGCCAACTTCTTTTGCGTCTAACAGGCAATTGGGATACATTGAATCATTCATGTAACAACGTTTTAAACGGGAGGCTCCGCCAGGCCCAGAAAGTATTTACAGTATTTTCATTTGCCTATCATAAGTACAGTCGAACCTGTATATTACGGCCCTGTATGAAGCCGCCACCCTCTATTAAGCGGCCAGTTTTCTAAGCCCCGGTTTTGCGCTCATACAAACGCTGTATTTGTTAACTGTATTAGGCGGCCACCTCTTTTAAGCGGCCGCGGCCACCCTGTAGCAGCCCTATGATCGTGTTTCTTAATTCAGTATTTTTACCTGTATTAAGCAGCCAGCCTTGAACGGAAACTAAGCTATATGCCATTTTATACGGTATTTCATTGTGTTTAAAATGCGATCCATCGTCACTATGAAGAAATAACATGTACAGTGCTACTGTAAGCTGATAATCGGCCGTTTAGTATGCATGGTTAATGCTTTTCAGATGTTACCAGATTTACTGCACAGTATTCACACAATGTTAAGTATATTATACCGTTAAGTTACAAGTTCGCACTGAACTTTGTTTAAAGTTCTGATCGCTTGAAAGAGTGTTGATAATTGTTTTCTTGCATGAAGTGTTTTTTTTTGTGTTGAGCCATTAAAATTGACATTAGGCCACGCCCAGTGAGTATTTTTAGTGATTCTGTATTAAGCGGCCAGTTCCTCAAGTCTCAAGGGTGGCCGCTGTATGCAGGTTCGACTGTATTGAGGTAGGGACCGAATTAATCCCTTTTTTGGGCAGGAATCTCATGAACGAGGGCACTAACGATTCTTGTTATCATCTTTTTTTCTGTGTGTTTTTGATACTATAGAAACATAAGACTCACCTACCCTTGACCGGTTCTAGTTTTCTTTAACCGCTTTGACAGGTTTTTTGTTAATGTTTAGGTGGTTGAATGTCTTGGGTTTTGATTGGTCGACTTAAAACTAAGAAATAATGCAGTTGCATATAGTCATTTTATTTGACGAAATCGTTACAGAGTGGAAGAAAGCGCCCAATTTGGCACCATTTTACGTCCGCATGAAAGCTGCAAGGCTGAAAGTGAAGGCGAAGCTCTTCGTGCTTTATTTCGCGATTGAGAATATAAAATATTCAGAAAAAAGATTGTCCGAGTATCTTTATTACTCATCGCGCTATTTTCGATGTTGAAAACTCCGTCACCTTGACCATGGCGGGATATTCCACTACATTTTGAATATGTCCCATAATTTGTTAAAAAATACAAGGAAAAGAGTTTGAAAGAATCAACCAGAGAGAAGAGAGGCGCACGTCAGAGACGAAAAGTGACAAGTGAAACCAAGCTTCCATCAAAGTGGAAAATGTTTCTGCAAGTTACTACCAACGAGGAAGAGCTATTTTCTCTTTTGACTGAAGAAGTAAAAGATTTTCAGTTTCCAGAAAATAAGGAGGTGAATATCACTTCAGGAGAAAATGTTTCCTCGAGCAGAGGGGCCTCAGATATGCAAAGATGTGACCACAAGGAAGCCGACTCAAAAATTGCTGTGTATGTCCTGCACGCTCTCAATAAATGACACAATCATGAAGATTCTTATTCGAACAGTGGACACAGACATTGTTGAAATAATGATTAGGCTCTTCAACTACCGTAAAATTCCGAAAATAAGCCCGGGGCTTATATTTTTCAAAAGCCCTTTTTGAGGGGCTTATTTTTGGAGGGGCTTATCTACGGAGGGAAATTTGCGTTTCAAAATCGATTGGGCTAGCCTCATAGTTGGAATGAAGTTTACCGGTTTTCGTAGTTTTGCTTTGTATTTGAGGGCAATTTCCAAGTACAAGCCCCTGGCGGGGCTTATATTCGGAGGGGCGATTTAACGGAGGGTTTTTTGCGTTACGAGTTTGGGGGGCTTATATTTGGAGGGGCTTATACATGGAGGGGCTTATTTTCGGAATTTTACGGTAATCGTTATCTTTACCGTCCCTCTGCAAATGTACGGATAAGTTTGGGTATGGGAAAGCACTTCCAGCTTGCAAGTGTTAAAGCCATCTGTGCATCTCTCGGTCCTGATACATCTCGAGCAATGCCCCTGCTTCACTGCTTTACTGTTTGTGACACCACCTCCTGCTTCAAGGGCAAGGGAAAGAGGTCCGCTTGGGAAGCTTGGAGGTCGTATCGTGAGGTTACAGATGTGTTCCTTTATCTTGCCTATAAACCATATTACCACTTGGACAAGGAGGAGGATTTCGGAATTTTTGCTCATAATTTTCCTACTTCGGGTACGGTCGGTTACAGTGGTGTAGGAATGTGTGACGCTTGAAAGAAAAGGCCCTAAAAGCGCAGGATCTAAACCGCTTTTAAGACCTCAGAAACTAAATTGCTAGAGTAACAACATTCAACTACGTTTACTGTAAACTACTATGCATTATTAATGTACCTTAAAGCAGGTTTATTCATATTTTAAAAAGAAAACGAATTAAAAACCTGTTTTAACATTTTTTCGCCTTCAGTGCATGTTTATCTCTAATTTCATTTCCTTTAATATTGTCAGAGTTTAAAAACCATGGCGGAATTCTACCTCTTTGCTAAATTTACTGATACAATCCCCGGAATTGAAGCGAATTGATTAAGATTCGGTCTGGGTGCACCATTGAGTGCCTGCGCAACTTGTTACCATTAGGTTTCCCAATACCCTTATTGGTTTTGGACAGGGGACCGAGTCCTTGGACTGTTTAGTTGACAATGTATTTGGTCCAATGTCGTCCTTCTAATCTCGGTCCTTCTTTGCCAAAGGACTCGAGAGTCGAGTAGTAGGCTTGATGTGCCTTGTGGTATCGCTTTCAACTTGGTTTCGGTATTTTATAACTCAGTGTGCTTTGAAATTGAATGGTTGGGTGGCACATTGCTTATGATTTTTGTGGCAAAGCAAGAACCTGTTGCACTGGAGCCCCGAAGGAGATCAATTTGTGAATGAGTCATGATATAGACAAACCAATCTGAGGTTTTTTTCTGCTTCATCGCTTCCCTTTTTTCTAAAGCTTTAGTTAAACATAACATAACGTTTATGTATACTTTGGCATCATGTAATGAATTATGATCATGAGGCTTAAAAGATTAAAATAATTCTTTTTGAATAGGAGGGAAAGCACTCAGTTAGAAAGGCATATTGAGTTTTATTGCTCATCGTCCATAGACGGACGTAGATTTAAGATTTTTTTAACGGCACTTCGAAAACATGAAATTTCCCTGTTGCCTAATAGTATTGTTTGCATTCTCTAGGCTAACAATTATAGAACTCACCGGTCTGAATCTTTGAAATGGTGCTCGACAGGCGTAGTGTCAGTTTATCTGCTGCTGCGCTCAACTTGCTTTTGTTTTCTTTGCGTTGCAAGAATATGCTTCGTTGATCTGGTTACTCAGTCTTGTCATGACAAAAAGTTGGCGGTAAAGCTTTAGCTGGTACCTGAGAAGTAGTCATTCAACATTACCAGACTGGCTTCTCTAGCGATTTCCTCGAGCCTGCTGCAACTGTGTCTTCCAGCAGGCTTTCCCTCGATTACGACCTAAATTATTTTTCAGTCTTAAAAGTCGCTGCTTTCTTGCGTTTGGCATTCATGGTCGTAGGTCAGCCTCAGTCTCCCGTGTTCTGTTCTTCGGTGCGAAGAGCAACACTCTGCAAGAAATGTCTACCTTCTCCAGTCTTTGCAAAATGAATTAAGGTGACTACGCCTGTTAAGGAGGGCTCTTTTTCTGCGGGAAAAAAAATTAAACCATTTTATCCCCAATATATGTTTGACTTTAAGCCAACTCAAGTCAAGTTCATATTCACGGTAGTTCAAACTAATAAAAACATTTAAAATTTTATCATAGGGAAAATGTATACGTGCTTTTGAATTCTTAAGGTATTAGCACAGTTTATTTCCTGATGATGTGGCATATTTCAATCTTATTTGTCAGTTTTACTAAGATGACAAAAAGCTATAGTGCTTTCATTTAATTTGGTTGAAAGGTGCGTTTTTGTAAATTTTGAATATGTGTGTGAAAGAAATCATGACATGCTTTTAGATCTGAATATAATAAAAGAATTATAAATTAATATTCAAAGTGAACAAATAGACGACTTATAAGATTAAAACTCTAATGAATGGTAAGTTTTTTTTCATTTATTGGCTCAAAGAGGCTGTTTCAAATTCTTTAAAATTACGTAGCTTTGGTGTTTTTCTTTTCTGATATTGTCGAAAACTTTAAGTCTAAGTCGTACAAAAGGGGTAGCTCACTATCTATGTACATATCAAATGTTAAAAAAAAGAAAGAATATTTCATCTTGATGATATCAGTAACTGCCAGAATTATTGGCCACAACCCACTGGTGATATCGTGTAGTAACAGAAAAAGTGAAAACTGGTTAAACCTAGGTGTAAATAAAGGAAAGTATGTGTGAAATAAGGGAAGATTAGCTCGGCCAATAGATCTCTCAATGAACTGCAGAGCGACAAGTCGAGGGGTTCGATACCCGCTGCGGTAGTGCAGGGTGGTCAAATGTTAATTCATGGAATGAGGTTACTGCCTTTGCTCGGCAAACAGCTGGTAGATTCGAGGTTTGCTCTTCTCTTGGATCTGATGATTACTCAGAAATGACCGTGCGTCCAATCGCAAAAACTACGCATGTTCTCAGTTTAGCACTTAAGAGCTAAACGTATTGGCTCTTATTAATGTATACCTATTTTTTCTACCATATTATACGGGCTAAGTATTCTATGGGCCGCTGTTTCGTAAAGAGCGATTATTCTAATGAGCCAAGTATTTCCAGCCAATTTAGCCGCGCGCTGTCTGTCGCTTTTGATTGTTGTTTTGGAGAACTCCCTTTTCCCTTTCAGCCAAAATATCAGATGGTACTTTTTTCTTAGCAATAATAAAGAGATCCCCGACCTACTTAGTTGTAATTTTTTGGTGAGATATTTTCTTTCAATCGCATTTGTTTCTGATTTTTGTGTTGCCGGGGGTAACAAGAATTGATGTAGTTTATTTAGCTGGCTTGACTGCCTTGAAGTTGGATGAGCAGACTCTGAGTGGTTTCTTTTATAATATTAACAGTCAGAACTATTTTTAGTTTTCAAAAGGATTGCGCTCGATTACATGACAGGTGCTAGACGGGTAGACGTTTTTCCTTTTTAACAAATATAAATGCTTCTTATGAATAAAGACAATCAAATGAGTTTGTTTTAGAGGGTGTCACTCAACAAGCAAGGTATCTCGCACCTTCGTTAGAACTGGGGTATGATTTGGACTGCAAAATCCAGAGTAGCTAACACATATTCAAACCCACTCGAGTGCCCCACCCTCTAATTTGGGGATAAAAACTGATATTTTTGATAAATGAAAGAGACGTAGTCTTGCACTTTCATGCTTTCACCTGATTTCAAAGTTGGAGGGTGAAAGAAGATATATTGAGGAGGGTACATATGTGCCCTTTTCATTTAGCTATAAATTTCTTAACTAACAAATATGCTTTATTTCATATATCATTAACAAAAACCAAAATATCTGCACATCTGGAGAGGGTTGAAAGTGAGCATCAAAATTAGAATAATATTAATAAATACTAATAGCCTTTATTACCAAAAGATAAAAGGACATATCTTTTGTTACATTCTCGTTGCCTATACACTCAATAAAAATCTACCCTAAAAATTAAACTAGTTAACAAATGGATGATAGAATACTACGTAGAAACTACCTTGTCTTGTGTTTAGAAATCAGTCTATTTACATAAGATGTCATAAACTGTTCGGTATGAATGGCACAAAGGAATTAAAAACAACATGTCATTGCTATTTTTTAACGTCAATTCATAGATATTTATGCCCTCTTAACATTACCTCGCCAACTTTCAAATCAATATCGGCAATATAAATGGAACATTGACTGTGCAAACTCGTTAAGGTATCGATTATTTCCGACTTATTTCTGGCCAATGAGATACAATCGGAGCCGGGTTCGAATCGGAGCAGGTTCGGAATAGGTTCGAAATAAGGTTCGGATGGATAATGCATATGGATTATGGATAATGCAGCTGGCAAGAAACACAGTTGTTTGTTACTGTGATGCATTACTGTATTGCAGTTGCTTTGGGTGCAGCAGCAGCAACAAGACTAACGAACAAGGTAATAATATAGTTCATCTTACTTCTAAATCTAGCTGAAATTTAGCTTACAAGCGTATTTTATCGCGCAAACTGATGGATGCTGATGGTCCTGGGCCTTTACTCTCCATTTCAAGGACACACCTTATGTACTGCGCAATTCAACATGAACGTACCTAAATATCTTTAAATGGTCAGAATGTAGGTATCCCTTAAGAAAAAAAAAACCTTGTCACTATAACGATGTAACCGGGAAGAATAACTACTTATAGTGTTTGCCAGCACAACATTTTTGCTCTCAGATCAGTGTTTCCCAGTTGAATCAAGTTGGAATCAAGACAGTATCTGCCCCTGTTTTGCCGTTGCAAAGCTACCGCTAAGTGATCGCACTTTGAGGTTACGTTGTCTTAGTTTGCGTAGGGGGCTTAGTGACATGGGTAACTGCTGAGTTCGATCAGAGTCAGTTGTTCAGTTAATCCCGATTTCTATTGCTGCCTAGCTAAACTATTACCTTTTACCCTAAATACCGAGCTCTTACAGACTTAAGACAGCCTTGTGAAGCTTCAGTTGGCTACATCTAAATATTGTGAGGGCCTGTGGTTCATATTGTATCTTGTTTGCATCTTAGTGGTTTTCAACAAATTGTCACACAGCCTTAAGAATTTCGTAGTAAAACATTATGATTACATTGACAGAAATTTGGTTGATTTATCAGTAAAAGATAACTTTTCTTCAACAATCTAACTAAAAATCCAACAACAATGTATAATTGTTAAGCAAATGATTCACAACAAGCTACAATTATTTATGCATTGACCATTATTTTTTAATAAGCACTTTTCATAAGTAAGTAAATACTGGAAGGCTAAATGAGTTATATTTAGAGTTGAGTTGTCAAAAAGTCGAGGTTTTACCAAAATTATCTCTGAACAGAGGTGAGGATCAATGACATTTTTATTAGAGGGGTCCAAACTTTTACACACTGTTGGAGAGGGCAATATACTGATCCGATCAATCTTCCACTAAAATATTTTCTAGTAAACTCTACTAACTAACGCGCAAACTTTCATTCAGTTTCAAAGCAAATAGTAGATACATTCCTTAACATTTCTCTGGTCTGATCGGTTAATCAGCTAGTAAAGCATCGTCTCGTGCACTCGTCACCGAAAATCATGGACGTACCTGGCAGCTATGAGATGACTTGACGTATGAAATTAAAATGAAAGCACGAAAAATTCCTGAAGCACGACATCGTTTCCCTATTTTGTAATGAAAGAAAACGAAAGAAGCATTTTGAACTCACGCGAGCCCAATATAGAAACATATTTGATGCAAAGGACGCGGGTAAAGGAATACTTCGAATAAACCGATACTGTACGTCACGCACAATATTTCAGTTGGAAATAGCCCTTTTTTTTTCACAAAGTATGCTATCTGGCTAAAACAAAACTCATGTGTATGTCACTGTTTCATAGTTTCAAGTTCAATTAAGCGAGATATACAATGCACGAGCACACATTGAAATTGATCAATACCGAAAGTAACTCTTTAAATGTTTCTAAATGAAAAATATTTATTGAATGTATATTTTGTTGGTACATCTACGAGGAATCTAGAATTATGTCATCGATCCCCTCAAAGAGAGAGAAAAACATTCATTTCTGCTCCGATATAGCGAAATATCGATAAACCCATACTGGCGTGCGATGGCTACTAACAGATCCCAAATTGGAAAAGCCATTTCCACTTGTTTCCAAAAAAATGGGAAAATAAAAGTTCATTTAGGATTTATACAATCCTAATAAAGGAAAGTATTTCATTTCGAGAGAGTACTTATAATTTAGTTGATCATCACGGTCACAATATTATAATTGGCAAAAATCCTTATTTACACTAAATAATTACCATACGGCTAAGACAAACACGTATTTCATCATTTCTCTATTTCAAAGCCAAGAGGAAAAAGTATACTCAGATTTCATGCGAGCTAAATATGAGACAATATTTTCAATGGAGATACTTCAAAATTAATAGTTTCCGTTCGGTTATATGGTCGTTCTCAATATCACGTTGAAATATTTCGCAGTTTCTTGGCTTAACACCAGTCCTCAAATGGTTATCGGTACAATTGAAAGAATCCAAAAATCGTTAGAATTTTCTAAATAGATGTGAAACTTAGCAGTAAAACCGGGAATAAAGGTGTCAAAAGCGACTAATTCAGCGGTTGTGAAATCTTTTGTGACAAAATGGCAATGAAGGGAAACTGTAAAAGGAACACCAGATCGCGCCCAGTGAATAACGATATCTCATTTCAAGCATGTACTTCTAATTTTATCGGTCCATCTGGTCGTTCACAAAATAACATTGTCAAGTAAACTAAAGAGGCCCCGTTTACAGTGCGTGTTTTTTTTATGTGCGCTGAAAATTCAGGTGATATTCTCATGTAGGAAAACCTCTTTTTAGAAAAACAGTTGAGCAAGGATATGATCAGGAAATATGTAACGCTGCCAAAAAAAAAAATACTGAAAGAAGTGAAAATGCTTATTTACGCGGCACAAGTAATATGTATTAAAGGTTGTTGTCGCAATAATTGATATAATCCAATAATCATTAATTAAAACTACTTACGTAGGCGAGAGTCTGAGATTATAAAACCCCTTTGCTGAGACATAATGATGATGAAGGGAAACTGAAAAAGGAATACCTGAAATATCTCTAGTCGCTTCATTCTTTTTATTGGCTGAAAGAACATAGAAAAATAGGCAACTGAATTAGATACTCTGAAGAAAGAAACTAAGTGGAAAAAAAAACTTGCGGGGAAAGTCGAGTCTCTTGTTTAAGTACCATATTATGAGAATTAGATGTACACGCGCGTGTGAGGCTGAACACTCTGCTAAATTTTCAAGCAAAAAATACTTTGCCGATAAAATGTTAAATGGAACTGCCACGTGCATTAAATACTTTGTTTACAGTTGCTCCTTCGACTTGTTTCAGTACGAAAAGGTACTCACTCAAATAACTAGAAGAAAATAGATATTGCTGATAATAGTTGACATTCCACGGGTGTGTATTCACGACTACCTGATTAGCGTCACTGTAGGAAAGGGAAACTGATAAAGGTTTTAGTTTCTTGTTAATTCTTTTAATAGAGTCTTTTAGGTGCGATAAAAAAGCAAAAATAGTACAAGGAATTTTATTATGGCTGATCTGGAGAGATGTTAACGTTGATCTTGTTTATGGGCACCATTCCTGTCCAAAGCGGTGTGGCAGCTTTCTAATTTATTAGTATCATTATTTTTACTCGATAAGAGCAGGTATGGGTCATTTCAATTTTTCCCCCCAAAGTCTAGACATGCTTTTTTACATGCAATTTCTTGGACCATCTTCTTTCTCCTTCAAGCCGCTTGTCAGTCTTGACATCAATCACATCCGCACGAGAACATTCGGTTGACTGTTTATACTAGAAGGTCGAATTGAAATTGAGGAGTCGGGGTTTACCTGTTGCAAAGTCTTGCATGGAATTTGATGGATTGTACGAAAACCGAGGGGGGACGGAACAGTCTTCAGACTTACAAAGTTTGAACTCCCGATTTCTGATTTGTGACTTCAAACGCAGTTTTGGCTTGTTTTGCTATGTAAGTTCCTCACGCAGTTGTTATGTTTTGCTACGTTTTAGGTTGTTGTTGAAAGTGATACCTAGCTGAATCCACTTTGGACTTCAGACTTCAGACTGCTTCAGACTACAGACGTACAGAGTTGACTTCAGACTCAAGATTTGAGATCTCTGATACCAGCGTGAAGAACTCATACAGCAACATGCCAGAATTGAGTCTGAAAACAGAAATCACCAACGTATGAAGTCTGAAGTCTGAAGTCTGAAGTCCTTCCTCGGCTTTCGTATGATTGATATAATTTTTCTGTCAGTTAAGTACTGCTTTTGATAGAAAGAAGCCCAGAACAGCATAGCTTATCTAGCTCTTTTCTGAAAAGACTGAAATCCTTGCATGATTCGAATTAAGCAACAGAGAAAACGTACTTGTTTTCATAGCTTGATATGAACGAGAGATGGTGTTGGAATTCGAGACAATTATGCAAACCCGAGAGTCGAGCTGCAAATTTTTGAATCATTTGTTTGGAGAAATTCATGTGCTATTACGCACACAAATCTCCTCTACAAGTCATCTCTGCATTATGACTGGCCTTTAAAATTGTTTTTGCACAAGTTGTCTTAATTTTCAAACTTTTTTTTAGAGTTTTACGTCCGCTAACGCTAGAGGACAGCCAAGTTTACTCGAAGAACTTTCCTTTAGGTGTTTTGGACGGAAAAAACGCCTTACCCAAACATGTTCCTAATTTGATTCTTCAAAGGACAACTAGCTAGACTCGCCGGAGCTATAACCATGGCCTACCGTAATTTACAACTGAATAAGAACTTGAATAGTAGAAGTTGAAAAAGAAATTGAAAAAGTAGATCGGGAAAAGTTCAATGCCACTAGCGGATAGAACCGATCTCCTGTTTACATTTCACAAATGAGCTATAGGCAAAGTGAATCGGTGAAGTGGTCTCAATATTTTGCTTTAACAACTGAATCAAAACTTTTTTTAACATCACACTATTGAAAGTGGGCCACTTCTTCTCAAGGTCAACCTAGTCAAGGTTACTAAAAATTGTCAATGCAAAATAAATGTGCCAACTTGGTAGATCTCGAAGCAAAAGAAACGCCAAAAACAATTAGAATCTCACGTCTTTTGTACGGCATAGAAAAAGCCATCAAATCGATGCGTTATTTGCTAAATCATGATTTAAGGTAGGTGTTTTTCTTGGTACGCCAGTTAGACATGAGGCCTCTACTAATTTTAACTATTATTCTCCTCGTAGGATCTGAACTGAAGTGCGATGGAGGAGCCAAGCAATTTCACCCAACTAGAAAGCCATGGGGAGGACGACCAGCCGCTGCCTAACGAAGGGACAGATCATAAGGTGGCAAAGATGACCATGATTGGTCTCTACGTCATTATCTTCTTGTTCTCTCTAGTTGGCAATTCCCTTATCTTTCATCTTGTCCGCACCCGTAAGAGTATTCGCAAGAACCAGTTTTACTGGCTTATTGTCAATACAGCAGTTGCTGATCTCATGGATGTGGTCACAGCGTCTGCCTTCTCAGTGGCATACTTCTTATATGAGGAAAGATGGGGACTTGGAGCATTTGGAGCTTTCCTGTGCAAGATCATTCCTTTTCTGCTTGTAACTTCCATTTGTGCTGCCATTTGGACGCTCACAGTCATTGCTGTTGACAGATATCTAGTTATTGTATGTCTCCGAAGAAGGGCCCTGTCATCCCGATCAGTGTTGTGTTCCATTTGCGCCGTTTGGCTGTGTGCTGCGTTAGTATCCATCGGGCAGCTGTACAAATTCAAAATGGAAACAGAAGACGATGGGACAGCCTACTGTATCGACGAGTGGAACGATCAATCGGCGGAGACGTCTCTGCTTATCTACAGAACGGAAATGGTTACGAGGGTTGTCATCACCTACGCAATTCCACTTTTCGTCATAGCAATCTTGTATTTTTTGATTGCTAGATTTCTGTGGAAGCGCAAGCCACCAGTCAGTGTCAACCAACATGCTTACAATAATCAGATCAGAAAACGCAAGACAGTGATCAAGATGTTGATTACAGTTGTCACCGTTTTTGCGGTCTGTTGGTTCCCTGTGCACGTCAGTCACATAATGTCTAAGTTTCACCAAGATGCTTACAGCGATATTCCAGAGGTTCTCAGATGGCTGTTCTTCTGGCTGGCGCATGCTAATGCTGCAATTCATCCGTGGCTGTTCATAGCATTCAGTGAGCATCTCAGAGAGGGAACAAAGGAGATATTTCGAGATATGTGTAAACCAAACCAGCTGAGATTGCGTCACGGGTCCACTCCAAGTTTGGCAACCGTAAATGATCCTCTTTCCCGGTCTGTCACGCCCCCCAAAGGCAGCGTTCGCGGCCGTGCTGAACGCTTGCTGAGCTAATGTGTGCATGTTGGACCATGCTGATTTAAGGAAGGGTACCGAACTCCGGTTGATTCTATTCACTCAGGACATCTAAATGAAAGATGCAGCCTATTTGACCATTAATGTTAACATAGGTAAAAAAAACACACAATAGTCCAATAAACACGCCAGCGATTCAGTGATCAAACATTAGTTCATGAGCGTAGGCTACATGCCGCTGCGGCGGAAATAGCCAGTAATACGTTAGATTTTTTAAGTACATAAATGCTTATCATTACCTAAGTGGTAAATACTCATTTAGGGATGACACAAAAACTAAATTGAGAAATAGCTATGGTACTCTATTATTTAGTTTTAGTAAGCTCACTTATGTACAGGAAAATAGAGTGATGGCATAGTCTGCTCAGATTTCTGTCATTCTCATCAGGAGCACAGTGAAAAGACCTGGAAAGAGAGTCAGCGCTGAAAGGGAGAGCTAACTCGGTCCGAAAGAAAACTTTAAAATAAATAACACGACAAAAGCGCGCCCTGAGAAAGCAGAAAAATATATATAACGGTTAACGGTAGAGGAAAACTTGTTTTTTGACTCTCTTCCCGCACGTTTCGAACTGTGGTAACCACAGCTGGCCATACGTGCCCTAAGTGTTGAACACAAATCACTAAGGAGTGAGATTAGATTCGCCATTGTTATGATTATGACCTAAAAGCGTTTGATACATTAAAGATACTTGCTTTGTCTTGATGCCAATTTATTTCGCCTATATTCATAGTTTTTATTTTAGAGGCATTCATTTTGCCAAAAAAGCAAATGTTTTTTAAGTCTTATTTCGTTTGACTTGTTTTACCAGCTTTACCAAGCACAAGCCTACCCATCAAGGAAGGTCACTCGGTCGGACTTACAGCTTCCTTGCGAAGTGCCCTTCTAGCCTACTGACGGTAGATAGACACCTAGGGCTGGTCACCGCTAGAGTGATTGCCTAGTGGTTATTTTATGACGCACAAAAGATTCGTCTTAGTTTTATCATAGGGATCTTAAGATTCTAGGACGGGGATGACTGTGGACAAGAATTGACTTCAAGTTTTTCGGGCGAATTCTAAAACAAATCAAATTTGTTAAATTCCGTCTTGGAAGATAGATGAACCCTGAGAGACAAGAAGCCTTGACTCGCGGCTAAGTGTGTTGAATGAAGATACGTGAGGTACCCTGGAAAGTTTTTTAATTTTACTTTTTTTAACAGAAAAGTTAGTACGGTTATTTTTTATTGAAAGTGGTTAAGCCCTCTCCTTATCGTAAAATGAGAAATGTTCTAAAATTTGATAACTTCTTTCCACCACTAAGAGATTCTCGTTAAAAACCATATTAGAATGACGAACGCTATCGCGTTCTCCTGCCAAAGTGTCGCTGGTTCACGAGTGCGCACTATTTCGTATTAAAACGTAGTAGTCTTCCTCGTCTTGGTATCTAAAGTCTCTCTTGAAAAGTAGAGTCAGTAACTAAGAAACTGAATTTACAATGTCTTATTCTTAAGGCAAATTTTTGAAGCTAAACAGGTATGCGAAGAGGATTGATGTTGAAATTTTCTTTCCCAAATCTTTTGCTTAATATGTTGTATCCGGTTTGAAGACTCTTCAGTGAGTTGTTTGCTTAAGATGCTTATTGACAAGATCACTAACTGAAACATAAATAGAGAATTGTAATGTTGCTATTGCCAGTTTTTAGTGTAGTGGAGTGTAATTTTTTTTATTCCTAGCGTTACAGTTGTCAGTAATTTATACTTTATAATTGTGCTTTCTCCGTAAGTTTGCTTTGTAGGTTTTCGCCCCATGTAATGGAATTTAAGACAGTCTTGGATGCTGGATTCCACGCCGTGGACTCCGGATCTCCGGATTCTAATCGTTAGTTGGATTCCGGATTCCTAGAGCTGTTTTAGGGATTCTAAATCCCTGGATTCCGCATTCCACAAGCAAAAATTTCCCGGATTGCGGAATCCAGTTTCTCTTAAGGTGATGTCACACGGGACGATTCGCAACGACGGTTTTTAGCGCAACACAACGTTGTGATGTTGGAACAATGTTGGAACCATTCGAAACAATGTCGTAACATTGTTGCAAAGCTGTGTTGCGCTAAAAATCGTCTTTGCGAATTGTCTCGTGTAACATCAGCTTTACATGGGGTGGCCTGTATTTGCACTCAATACATTGAGAATCGGTCAACAATATCTTTTCCCCTAAATATCTACTAGTTCTGTAATTATGTAGTGAATGTATGCGAACAATGCTTAATAAAAGTAAACGATTTAAATTGGTGTTGTAGCGCTCATTTTATTCGGACATTTGGCAGCGAATTTATCCGTTTTCATGAGGAAAATTGGCTAATGACAGTATACCTAAGGATAGAGATGAGATGAGCGGAAAGACTGGGACTTCTAGCTCCCCCCCCCGCCCCCCCCACAAGAAAGCTGCATCGCTAGCTCAGCTTCCGAGCCCAGAGAGATGAATTACAGTTCTCAGATTTCTCAGATTGATTTAAGTGGCGTGATCTATGAATAGTAGTAAAGCCTTCCCCTTAGTATAGTTTCTAACCCTCGTTATAAACATTACTCGGAGTAGTCGATAAGGCCCTTGAAACGGACAAAAGATATAACTTCGCTGTATTGTGTGCTCATGGTCAAGTATTTACCTAGGTAGACTTTTTAAAATAGTTAAAAATAGTTTGCCAAGAGTCTCTGGGAGTATCACCAGTGCTGCAAGTGAAATTTTGTGGTTTCTGCCAACGATGGTCTCATGTGGTCTCTGAAGTTTTTGAAATGTAAACGTGGTAAAAATCCTTAAATTCAGCCAAATTCCTGTTATAACCTTGGTTCGCCGAATTCGTTGCAATCCAAGGTTTCATTTGTTGTATATCGATGCCACTGACATCGACAACAAAATCTGTCCGTATTTCCTTGATGGCAGGTACAAAATTGGTCGCAAGGTATATTGTCACAGATAACAATGCGGGTCTTTTGAAGGGCGCACGAGTGTCGTTTGGTGATGTCATTGTGACCACCCTGGCCACAGCTACAAGAACCTGATAATTTGCAAGCAGAGGTCAGTTTCAATTGCAGGGTAGGAACCTAATGGACTGCACACAGATTTTACCTCCGGCGGCCTAACCTCACGTTACAGGGAAGATGTAATTTCAATTAGGTGACGCAGAACGTGACCTTCTCAAGTAAACGGGTGACTCGTTCAGACGTTATAAGCGGTCGAAGTTGAAGTAAAAAATATTTCGTTTGCGAAGAATAAAGTTTGAGAATGCTAAAATAAGTAAAGAACACTTACCTTTGATGCATTCCTTTGACTTGCGTAATACTTTAACTAACAGCAGAGGACTTCAGAGCGATCTAGCAGTATCGTGTTGCAACAAAAATGTCGTTTTTTCGCCATAATTCCTATCCGCCCCAAATTTTTCCAGCTCCAGCCCGAGAAGGAAACCTCCCCTTCCTCTTTGAGTGATCGGTTCGTAAAAGGATTTATTATTTCCCTTCCAAATCGAACCATTTGGGCCGTGGTTCGAGGCCCATCAGGCTTTGCTACATAGCGCCTACCAGAAGAAATTCTAACCCCCGTTCTGGTGACAACCGTGACAACCGTTGTGTTAACCTCCAAAGCATGCGCAGACGTTCTTAGGGTTTCGTCACTCTTTCCTGTCCCACGAATGCGTGACTGCGGGTTCTGCTAATAGTCAGATGTTGTTGTTAAAGAGCTATTTCATGGATTGTGATTAATCTCGTAGTTATCGCAGTTTCATCTTTTACTTTTGACACACAATTATGCTTCAAGCTAGTTTACTGTATGCAGGGGTATGATGAATTAGGAGGTGATACGTCTGATCAACATAATCCGATGGAATGATTGTTACCAAGGTGTTAGACTGCTGGACTTGTCCATGTTATGTTAAATTTGAATTGTTGGTTTCATCGTATCCCTGAGAAGCCTCATAAGGGGCCGATGATAATTAATTATTCATTTATTTTATTTTTTATAATACAATGTATATGACTGTTTTAGTAAGTGATTGACACTCAGTATGAAGAAGCGTTCATAAGAAAATAATTTGATTTTTAATAATACATCCTTTCCTTGGCTTACATACAATTTTATTCCTATTCCACGTTTGTCCAAAGGAATTCCACTGAATCGGAAAAGCTAGTTAATATCTATTTTCAATGATTTACAAAATATACATTACAGAATCGAAAAGGCCGCGCCAATACCGAGATCTAAATACCCCCGCTTTTAAAATGAGGCCAAACGCTACAACAATCACGTGATAATGAGCCTCATTTGCAGGAGGAATAAAAACTTTTTATATCTAAGAGACTTGGCCCGCTCGTTTTGAAAAAGAGGATAGAGGCAAGTAGGAAATAGCATTTGTACAATGAATTTGATTTCGCACTGCTGCCAAGTCACCCTCACTGCTCTGACGTCACCTAGGAGAGACAATCAAACAAATGCAAGCTTGATTGGTGTATTCATGTTTTTCAAATCGTGTAGTAGGCACAACTCTCTCTAACCCACTAGCCAGGGGTTAGCACAGGAACAAGGATACCACAGTTGGTTGGTGCGCGGCCTTGGACAAGTGATTCGTTTTTTTTTTTAGGGGTATCAGTGGTGAGTGGTGTGTGTGTTGCTCGTGGTATACTAGAGCAGGAAGTGTCATGAAGAGCGGGGAGGGGAGGGCGAGGAGGGGGGGGGGGGGGGGGGGGGGGGGGGGGGGGGGGGTGGGGGGGGGGGGGGGGGGTTAAATGAGCGCACCATAGGCCTTGGGATTTGTTAGTCAGACTGATGACTATTTCAAGTTATTGACATAAAAGAAAGAGCTTTTACATTATTTTAGTTTAGCCCCAGCACTGAGGGTTGCTCTAAGTGGATCGGAGAGCAGCCGCCAGGGGCTAACTCCAGGCCTCAGATGTTCAAACGTTGGATAACGCTATCCATGATAAATCTCTATCCAGCATAACGCAATTGGTCTCCCATTGGTCTATCCACTGGACAGTAATTTATCCAGTGGATAGCGCTATCCAACGTTTGCACAACTGCCCAGGTGTCCTTTTTAGAAAGGCGTCCGTCCTATAGAGTGCCCCGAAAGGAGCAAGTTGTACATGTTGATCGAGCTATTTATGCACGTTTGTATCCTTGTGGTGCGGACTCTTGCTTCAAAATATGACTATAGTTTTCTGTTACTTATAGAGAATGCACTTCCCTGATGAGAAATAAGTTATTTTACCTGAATGGCGCCTTGAGTTCATAGTTATACTATTTCTTTTCAATCAGTTTTCTGTAAAGTTGTGTTTACTTTACTTGAAACGCCTTACGCTGGCCTATTGGGTCCCGTTCGCGCATTTTCTTTTTACGCATGCATTATATGTATTTAATTTAACCCACTTTAATCTTCTTTACTATAACATTCTCTTGGTCAGGACAACTATTTGATCAGCTTCACGTAGCTAGCCACTGGAAGAAGGCGTTTTATTTAACACAGCTTACCTTGAATGTGGCAACTTTATCTGTAAGAGAACTGCGATGACCTACAGGTACAACGGAGGTGGCAAATATCCGCTTGCGGAAGTAAGCAAACACTTTAAGAGTCTTCCAGATTTCTTTCTTGCGCTTAAAGGTCTTACGAATCTAAAGAAACGTGACATTGATGTTACTTCTTTCTGCTGTTAAGGTTCATCGCTCGTACTAGTCAGTCCCCATGTAACGATTCCAGAGGATGGCACTTGATACAAGAGATCAAAACTTAGCAGACAAACTTTACCCAAAACTCCATGATAATCAGCAAACATGTTTTACAATATCCCGTGATTCAAATCAAGCTCACAGTTTCTAGGCTTCTAGTAGACTACTACTTCAGTTAGAAATATCTCATTTAGTCAGTCAGTCGATTCTGAATTATTTAATAGATTATTACTAAGTAAACATAACCTAATCAACTTTAGTTTGCTGTGGTCGTCTATAGTAGATACTCTGATCCTGTTCTCGTATGCTGGTTACATAATTTGTGCTTTAGTGGAAGTAATAAAGATTAAGACCTCTGAGTGTCACCGCACCACTGTTAAGTTGCTACTTACCTCTGAATTAAAAAGACAATGCAAAAGGAAAATAAAGAAGCCCTAAAAAGAAAAATATATATATATCTTTTTAGCTAAAACAGGAATGAACAATCGATAAGCAAAATTCCATTCGGTGGCGCTTTTCTTAGCAGTGCATAATCAAAACAAATGGACATGTGCCTGGTAAGGCAGGTTGACCAAACACAAAACATATCCCTCCGACACAGACGTTTGAAGGAAAAACGTTTTTTTCCTAAAAACGCCTTTTGGGATATGCCCACAAAGCTCCCCCATCCTTGTGTGGGATATGCCAAGGTCAAAGCTTCTAAAGTTTGGGAGTCGAAACGAGATTGGCTAAACCACAGAAACAGGAATATCGCTTGTGGGCAAGCGCGTATTTTTTAGGGAGGAGAACACGATTCGTCCAAAACACCTGTGTAGAAGTATATATGAAGACAGAGAATAGTGACAGAGACTGATTTTATTTGCATCCCCCTGCCCCTGAAAACGCCCTGAAATGCTTTGTGACCAGTTGCGTTCTTTCCAAAACATTTAGTTTGATAAACTTACTTACAAAAACTGAAAAAGATACCAAAGCGAGTCTAAATCTACACATAGATACAGGTTATACAGAAAGTGCGATAACTAACGTAGTAGAATGTAGGAGTCTTGTCTCGCTACTCGTGCCAACATCGCCTTCAAGGCGTGTGGCTCTGTTTAAGTTTTTATTAAGTGTAAATAAAATAATTAAATGTACCTGTAATGAGTTAGACAAGGCAAATAAATACTGAATTGTTACATCATGTGTGGCAAACACCAGCAGGCCAAATAACCAGGTGATACCAAGAAGAGGGAAAAGAACCACGAGTGACTTGATAGTGGATCTAAAACAGTAATGAAAAAATACTTAAGGTAAAACAAAACTGTTTTAATTTACAATAATAAAGGGACATCGATTGCAATTGGATAAGCATTTAAGATTATAAAAAGCCTACTTTTGCCATACAAATAAGATTAAATTTACAATTGTTGGAGAAACAAATGCGTCAGCACTCGTTATTATCCAATTCCCTCACCGTCTTTTATTCGAGTTTATGGCCATTTCGGAGTTGCGTAGGGAACTGGGGCGAGTTTCAAATTTAAACTAATCGATAAACTGATGACACCTCCATATAAAAGTTCGTGTTGAGATTGGCTATTTGACCACGTTTGGTGCTCTAATTAAAGTTGAACAGGGATAAAGTTATGACTTTTGAAACATGGTTACAGATCCATACAAACGTCTGAAATTTTGTGACAATTGTATCGTCCCCCAAAAGTCAAAAACCATATAAACTCTTTAAAATAGTTTTCAGTTTTTCTTTTAAACTGTAGAATTCGTCATGCATCTACTACTTGGAAGGAAATAATTCCAAAATCACTATGTTTGCCCATTTTCAGGAATATCACCGAAATGGTGAAACAAATTAAGAGTTTATATGGTTTTGGGGGAAGCTGTCACAAAATTACAGAGGTTTGTATGGCTCTTTAACCATGTTTCAAGAGTCATAACGTGATCCCTGTTCAACCTCAGAGCACCAAACTTGGTCAAATAACCAATCTCGACATGACCTTTTATATGGTAGTGTTAGTTTATCGATTAGTTTAAATTTGAAACTCCCCCTAGTTCCCCACGCAACTCTGAAATGGCCAATAAGGTTCCTACCTCTCTAAATTAGTAAGGCTTCGTCAAGAGACTTTTTTTTTACTTTTTTCTTCTTTTCTCTAAGTTAAGAGGATACCTAGCCTCCCATACCTAGCCTCCCATGCACGCGTTCCTTTCCCACTGGCGCGACGAGGCCCTAAACCGTCTGCATGGGAGGCCAGATATAAGGTGAATTGGCCACCTTAAGGTGACCGATGGGGTTTTTCAGGCTCAATACGTCCCACGTTTGAGCAATATTACGTCGCCATTAACCAAGATTTGGAAAAATTTTCACCACAGCTGTATTAGATTAAGATGAAAATTTGTTATGATCAGGGTTACAATGATATCGGAGTTGCCATAACAACGAAATGAATCACCCACGCTAGTTTCTTTGTACTCCTGATCAGGAACCGGCCTAGCCTAGAAATTTCTGAATCTCGAGAAAGGCTGAAAATTTCTAGAGAACCGTTCGGTATTTTTACTAACTTACCTACGATTTTCGGAGGTAGTGTTTTTCTCATTTTATTACCAAGATATCGCGATTAGTATGAAAAAATTAAAGGTTCCCTGAAAACTTCTATGTAAAGACAAAACGTAACCTAGAATCTTATGAAAATATGGCTACTCTATGTCCACGAACTTTTTACCGGACCCATCAAGGTTGCTAACACTTTTGGATGTGACAAACGAAAAAGCTACTTAAAACTTTCGAGGCGACGAATGATGTTCCCTTAAGACATCCGAACACTGCTTAAGAAATTTGGAGGTAACTCCAAATTAGCCAAACAGGCTCCTAAATCAGGGAGAAAACATTTCGAGATACTTCTGATGTTGTATCTGGAAACATTTGTGTGCCCCTGTACTAATCTCCATCTTCCCCATTAACTATCTGCCTCTTTTTCTCCCCTACACAAAATTTGTTTACTTATTTCTTTGTCGTGTACACGCTTCGTAAATAGGCTGATAAACAAAGTAACCCTGTTACCTGACGATTTCACTCATACATGTTCTTTGTGATGTCTGTAGACGACAAATCTCCTTTAACACCAGCGCTAAAATCACGAGGTTTGCCTGAATTACAATAAAATCAAAATAAATGTTACAGAACGAAAAACGTAACGTTTTAGGTCTCACTTTGAAAGCAAACATACAAAGAGGAGCACAGAATTTATGAAGTTCTTCTTCTGAGTCCGTTAAGGCAGTCATTTCTTACATGCTTTTGCGTTATCACTTTGCTTTTCTCGATCGAATTTGTCATGTGACGTCAGTCGATTCATGTGACGAAATGTCAGGATACAGCCCTGAGGCTCGTCTACATGTTGTCTCTTGTTACAATTGTGACCTGGCATTAGAATTCAACGACTTCATGCATTTTTCCGTATGATAGTCGTTTTGTTCGAAAGTAAAGGAAATAATATCAATAATAACAATAATAATAATAATAATAATAATAATAATAATAATAATAATAATAATAATAATAATAATAATAATAATAATAATAATAATGAAAAATACCAAGACCTGGCAAGAGAGATTCAAAGGATCTGGAAATCAAGGACAAAAGTGGTGCCAAAGAAGCTGGCAGGCCACTTGGAGCAACTAGGAATTAAAAACCGAACAAGAACGATGCAAAAGTCGGCACTCCTCGGATCGGCACATATCCTCAGAAAGGTGCTGGAAGTCTGTATTTCTCCCCAGGGAAAAACCCTGTGCTAAATTTTACATCATCATCATCATCATCATCATCATCATAATAATAATAATAATAATAATAATAATAATAATAATAAAAACTAATAACGCTTTTCAGTCAAAAAAAAAAAAGAAAAAAAGTCATAAAAAATAACGCTTTTCAGTGAGGTCCTCTCAGGAGAGGGTTGGTTGAGGGATGGAATGTGGAATGGATATTCCTCCAAGTTGGAAAATCAATGTATCCTAAGGCCTGTTTCAAGAAAAAAAAATTTAAAGTTCTTCCGGAATTTCCTGGAGTTATCACAAGATATCCTTTGTTTTCCAGAAGCACATAGCCATTTCCCTGGCTTCTATTGCCTCAAGTCATCCTCACGAGTTTCACCGCAGAAAAAGCTGAGCTGAGCGGGCTTTTTAGGCCGCTTAGGGTAAGCCCTCGCCATACTTACTAGGAGGAAGGACTTTTCGAAAGTCTTCTCGGTGTCTACTTCTCCCCCCCTTCCTCCGAACCCCTAGGAAGCCCATCTCTTCACTGTGGTTTGTATTTGTCGCCTCTAACCAGTGTCTCTTTGGTAACTCCGTTGTTGTTCATGATCAAGGAATAAAGCCAGGGGCGTAGCCAGCTTGTCGACTAGTTGTAGGCCTGTACGGTCCTCACCAACACTTTGACCTCTTATGCTTTTTAGCTCTGCCCCAAAACGCATAATTTGTATCAAGAGGTAGAGTGATCAAACCAAAAATTTGTAGGCCCGGGCCTACAGGTTTATAGGCTGGATACGCCCCTGAAAGCGCTCTATTAATGTCTAAAGAACCATTTCAAAAAACTCCAAACTTACCAAAATAGTTCCAGTCACAGGAATGATAAAGGCAAGTACAGTGTTTCCTTCTGTTGAAATCCAGCAACTAAAAGCAAAATGTAACAAAACGTTTGCCGCTAAAATAACCAGGACGTAAAGGCATCTGCAAAATGTAGTTATTAACTGTACTGTTTACCTGGTTTTCGTCCCATAATCAGAGTATCTGCTTGCAACAGATATCATAACAATCAATGCTGGAACGCCTTTAAAAAAGTGAAAGACGTAGTCAGAAAGAGCCACGGAATGAAAAGTATTTTGAATGACGCCTCACTAGGAAAACAGACAATCAGAATGCAGCAAGCCGTTCGCAGAGAAATAGGCCAAAGTTTTAAAGAAAGTCTACGAGAATCGAACAAGAAGGCAAGCTTGTTAAGACCTTTGAAATATTTCGAAATGAATAATAAAACAAATATTGAATTCGGCTTTTATATGATGATCTCGGAGGATGTTTTCAGCCTTGGTGGACAACCATCCGCCACGGTCTGCACAATTCTTCGCATGCTACTCAACCTCATTCGATAATTGCTAAATATCAAGAGAGTTTGAAGGGGCACTACCCCCTTGGTATTATACAATCTTAATTTTCTATCCACTAAAACTGAAGATAGCTCTAGCATACATACCCCAAGCTAGCACAGTGTAGTGGTATATTTTCGATGAAACGTTGAACACCTTAATAACCATGGAGTAAATATGGAGCCCTTCACACAGCATCCAGCCAAATGTCACCAGGTAAAAATAATGAAGCATTATCGCTGTAAATTTACATTGGAGCTACAAAAAATAAAAATAAATAAATGATGATAATAATAATAATAATAATAATAATAATAATAATAATAATAATAATAATAATAGTAATAATAATAAAAATAATAATAATAATAATAATAATAACAGAACAAAAGGAAACGTAACACTATGGCTATTGGTTAGAATTCGTATGGTACACGGACCAGTAAATATCAAAAAATGAGGAAATCACGAGGTAAAAATAATGAAACATTTTTGCTGTACATTGGAGCTATTCATGGAGAAAGAAAAAAACGGAACAAAACGTAACGAAAGCCCATAGTTATTGTTTAGCGTTGGTATGATACACGTACCAGTAAATATCAAGATAAAAGGACGTCTTTCCTACATAGGAAGAATATTTCTTCCTCTTTCCTTAACTTGAGTTGTCCTACTGCATGATATCGAAAGCCATCTTAAGAAACGCTAAGCTGCCACATAAGGAAAACACTTCTACCACTGAGTCGCATGATGACTAATGCTAATTCTTGAGAGAAACGAGAGAATAACCTGATTCAAAATATAAATGAGTCTTAAATATATGTGATATATACCTTATTCCTGGTCTGTTCGATGCCAGCTAAGAATATGGTCTGAGAGATTGCTATGGAGATAAGTAGGTTTCCATGTATTATATGACGATCTGTGTTGAGCTGCCTGTTGAAAAGAGTAAAGTTAGTGAATTTATCACAACAAAAACACCGTCTGACTGAAAATATGGGTGAGACAATGTGGACAAGGGATAGGGTTCATTAGTTTCTTGAATAATACCACAGGTCGGTTCACAGTTTGGGCAAATGGTAAGCAAATTTAAGGATTGACAAATTACGATCTGAAATTGCGTTTATTGTTTACACATACAAATTGCATTCACCGAAAACGGTCCTAAAAGCCTGAAACTGGTGTCAAAGATTGGTTTGAAGAAATGCAACACGGATGTCCGTTTGGAACTTTCCGACAGGGAAAACAAGACTAATATTTGACAATTTCTGTTGCTCTAGGAAATATTCCATTGTAATATCGATCCGAAAAGTCTGAAAAGTCGATTTATCACTTGCGCATTCCCACAATACACCTTGTGTACCCCACCCCCTCCTCCCCACAAAAAATTGCATAACCTGAAGACAGTGTGTTTAAAAAAATTGGGAGGCAAAAAGGTAGATTCGCAAGTGGTGAGTTGATTCCCAACCGACTTATACCTTCAGCACACCCAGCACGTCGGATAAACAAATTTTGAATTCACCTAAGCTAATGCCCGCTTTAAATTAATAAAGTTTGTTCTAAAGTATTTGAAAATTGACCATTTATAGCCCATCACGGTGATTTCGGTGCGATTTTTGCAACAGAGCGAAGCAGCGCCGAGCCAATCTCGAGAGTGGAGCGTCACATATGGAATAGTAGGGACTTTAAGATCCAACGACGCGGAGGACAACGAGAACGTCAAAAAAAACAGTAGGTTTAATAAGCAAAACAACAACTTCGCACGTGCATGACACTTTTTTGTACATTTCATTCCCGTTTTTGCACGACTACGACGTGAAAATGCCTAATTTCGCGTTTTATAGAGAACGTAAACAAGCAACGACGAAATTTTATTTCTCTTTCTGAGCTTGAATATGGTTCCTTGAAATTCAGCTTCAGGAGGGTTCGTCTACAATTGACAAAGTAAGTGGGAAGGAATAATCGCTGTTAAGACTGAAAGAACGTAAATTCACTTTTTAAGCGACGTTCTTTTAGCCGTCGCGTGGTTGGATCTTAAAGTCCCTAGTTTCTGTGCCACACTTTGGTGTAGCGTGAACAGGTATTTGAACCGTAGCGCAAGTGAAGAAGTAGGAAAGAGGCCTCAAATCCACTGAACCGGAAGTAAATATGTAGGAGTGAGGATTGGGATTAAGTGCACCATACCCTCTCGGCCAACCGCTCAGGCAAAACTTGCTCTAGTCCCGCGCCGTTGCTGTAGTTGTCGACACGAAAACCTATCCGATACAGAGCGTTTTCACTCACATGACCTGCATGTACTCAAAGTCATTGGAACAAAAGAAAGCGTTTACATAAGAAAAGAGTTCGACTCCCACGTTGTTGGTTTGAAACACCAACATGGCCGCCGTTTCATTGGTTTAGAACACCAACATGGCCGCCGTGACGTCATGTGAAAGCGTTCTACAGTGAAGACATAGCCTAACTTAAGAAATCATTACAGCCTGTCATTCTGATTCATGTTCAGTGCGTGAAATGCGTAAAATGTGTAAAAAAAAACTGAATAAAAATAAAACAGTACATGCGTTAATGACGACTTACGTAAAGAGTACGAGCGATGCAATGGCAGCAACTGATCCCAGTAAGGACAAGCCGCAACCCACGTACGTAATGAGCATCAAAGCAAACTGATTGGCTTCTGAAAGCTGCAGGTGTAAAAGAAACATTTCAACAAATTAAAGTCAGTAGAAGCTTTTTAAAAGTCATGTGGAACTGATCAAAAACAACCACAACAAAAAAAACAAACAAACAAAGAAACAGTCTGTCGAACAAAAGGTTGAAATCATGGTCAACAGTTTTTATTCTTATAAGTCTCTTTTTATCAACTCATGATATTACAGTATAATTTGTATACAATTTATTAACGATACCATGCGTTACCTAACCAACTTTATTATGACACGACCAGTCCTTATACTGCAATGCATGCAGTTTTCAAAACGGATAGTACATACGCGTCAACTTCAGAGAGGTCCGTGTATGTAAGGGAACTTCAACTGTAAAAAGCACATACCGAGACTTCCTCAGATCCCATAAGTACAGCAAAGTTGGTGAGATGATCGCAGGCGCACGCTGTATGTGTTCTGTTAGAGCCCTCAGTGATAACGTGACATCCATCACGTGACCAAGCTCCTTTGCCATGCACAGTGCTGGTGAAAATGTAAGGATAGTTTAGTACATTGATTTGAATATATTTTAGTTTTAGGAATTCGAATTCCCGTTGCCGAGCTGTGTCAAGAAGATTTTGCTGTTTTAAGTTAATATGTGCGGAAGTCATTCCTATAGGTGCCCTTACCCATGGACAAAATGCTCCTGTAGAGGGTTGAAGACAGATATTTTTATATAAAGAAGGGGATTTTTGCAAGCATAATATTAAAACCTGAAAAAGTAGGCCCAACTTTTGTTTTAATCCATGTTCATCCGTCGGAAAAGATGACAGGAAACAGTTGAAATGCTTAAAGATAGTCTTAAATGACAAAACTGGACCATAATTGTTGTAATTAATGTGATGCGAGGACACGTTTTTGCTTTTAAAAAGAAGGCAAATAGCGTGACTCACATAGCTCCTTTAAGAACAACGAAACAAAAATCGTGGCAGTTTAATGGCGTTGTCGACGGTACGGTCAGGATTATTGTTGTCACACACAAGGTTGCAAACAAAGGAAAATCTACAAAAATGACAATGAAGCACTTTATAAATGAAAGAGATTCCCTAACTATAGAGCTAAAGAATCGAATAGCCTTGTAATGTCATGTTCGTTTTCTTCGTCCTTTTTGAGGATCGCAAAATAAGAATTGTCTTCTTGTTTCTTTGTGTTTTGTTAGGGACAAGGCATTGACTGTTTTATGCTAGGAAGATTAAAATGTTTAAGACGTCTTAATTAAGACCACTTTAACGTCTACTAGAAAAAACTTAACAGCATCATTGTGTCATTTTATAGAGTTTATCAAATGTTCAAAAAAATATACTTCCCCCACCTCCCCCTCTCCCCCTTTCCACCCCTTTCAATGTTGGGTTATAACAGAACAATTACTAGCACAAACACAATTAGTTTTGAACAACACTGGGCCAGGGTGTGGGGGAAGAAGTAAAAAAAGGTAAAAAGTTGAAGCCTTTCCAACTCTTTTCACGATGATATTGTGAGTTTGACGACATTGGCCACCAAAACCTTCAGGTAAAACTCGGCTTATGGAGTGTTAGGAAAATAGACAACAACTTTGGAAAGGCAACATTTACTAGAAACTACCGTTACTAGAATAATGTGAAAAGAAAAGAAAGTAAAACCTCCACTTACGTCAAAGAAAAGTCCCAGTAGGCACAGTATGTGAAATCATTGTCTTTGAGGACCTAGTAAACGAATCACAGTTGAGTACAGCAGTACCGAGTAAATTCTTGGCAGCTCCATTATTAAGGAGCGCATTGAACTGACAGTGACGGCGTGGGATAGACATTTAGTGTCAAACTGCTCAAAGACTTCATCGTGCACCTTTGAGGTACTCGAGGTTTATTTTCCTCATTATAGTAATATGTAAAATATGTATCCTCAAAGAGTTCTTACCTTAATATGTTTCATTACAATCGTAACATAAATCTTTGAGCTTTTTCCCAATGGGACACAGAGCCGCATGGAGATCACGTGACTGTTCAACCTCAGAGTCCGATTTGTACCGTTCCTGCAAAGGTGAGAGAATAAATTAATAAATGAATACAAACCTTGGTGAATGGCGTAGGAAACGATTTTAAAGGGCGGATCCAAGAAAAACAACTGCGCCACAAAAGAAGGCGCGTAAGGGGGTTGGAAGAGTTAGTACGTGGATAATCTACAAATTTAAACTTTAAAATCTATTAAAAATACTAATGCTTTCCAAAAATAGTGGAAACCAGTGTGGATCTATGTCTGGAAGATAATACTTACATTCGGACAGGAACCACAGAGTGTAAATTCCAATACAAAGCACCAAAGGTGCGGCAAGGGTCTGTAAAAAGAATATGTCAAACACTCTGTCAAGAGGTCAGTTGTACAGTAGTTTGTACATTTATTTGCCGTCGCTGCACAACTACAACGTAAATGTGCCAAATTTCACGTTTTTTCGAGGACGGAACAGAAGACAACAACTTTCTTTTTTTCTTTCCTGAACTTTGATACAGTCCTTTAGAATTCAATTCATATTTCTCTAATGATTAGAAACAGTTTCAGGAAGTAAGAGGTCAAGATTTTATACTTCCTCGTTTTTAGTAAACCTTATTACCTGACACATATTCTTTGTACACCCAATGCTTCCAGATAGATATAGGCCTCATTCTCGATACCCCCATTTTGTGAACGCCCCCAAAGATTGAGGGGATAAGAGGAATGGCACGTGGTTTCTTAGAGAACATTAAGAAAAAGTAAAGGCTTCCAATACAAGCTATTGCCAAGACAAAGGTCACTGCACCTCCACCCATAGTCTGCCATTGTCGTTTTTAAAATTGCAAGATCTTCACTTTCTGTTGTTGTTCTGTTGATAACTTGTAGTGGCAGCTTTTATCAGTTGTTTGTCTCCTGAGAAACCACGTGACTTTGTTTTTATCCCGAAAATCCTTACGGGCGTAAAAAGATGACAGATATCTTGACTTTTGTGTTCAAATCACTGTTAATATGCGAAAATGTACCTGCAAACTGATAATAAAGATAATTGAAACTGAGAATCAGTTTCAAGAGTGAACACCAAAATTTCAACTGGAACTAACGTTATTGAATTTCAGTCCACATGTACTTACATTTGTCCTCACTAAGCAGCTTTTGCGGCAGAGCCATGTATGTAGACGCCTGGTCAATTGGCCCTGGGAATTCATAAGCGCCACTGATTCTCGCAGTTTCAAGCACTGAATATGAAAAAAAGACAAGTCAGTTAACTCATTATTTCAATGACTATTCTTAGCGAAACAAGACAGTACGATTATGATTTGATGATGGTAAAGATCGTATAAATCATATATTCACATGACAAAATAACAATATTATTACATTACCATTTGTGATTTTGAGAATGAGCTCAAAATTACTACCTTCGATTCAAGGATTTGAAGTAAGAGAAAACAGATAGTGTTTAGTTGAAAACAAGGGAATTTCTTAACATCATCAAGACCCATTATGGCTCTTGACATTATGAATAATTATGACCTTTCGGCTGCCCACCTACCCCTCCCCTAAGCTAACATTTTGCCCTAGATAGGAAGTAAGTGTTAATGTTAGCTTAAGGGAGGGGTAGGTGGGCAGTTTCCCAGAAACCTAAAATTGATCTGACGTTTCTTGGTTGCTGCCATTGTTCCGTACAAAAGAGCTGTGAAACTTAACAAGAGTGGGACCGAAAAACATTATATATATTTTGAAATGATTCCACGCGGGAAATTTAAAAGCGGAAACAGCCCATATACATATCCAATTTCCGATACTTTTTAATTTCTTTCCACTTATTAAAAATCAAATCATGCGTTAGTTCAGGTCAATTTGTTACTGACAATAGTAATAATATTAGATAATCTTGTTTGCTGCAATAAGGTCTTACCCGCAAAGGTCTCAGTTGTTATTCGTATGGTCTCGTTGCGGTTCTTTAATCTTTTTATGACATCCTTCCAAACGTCTTCTAGCACTGCTATTACTTCAAATGCATTGAATGCAGTTGAACTGTTTTCACGGGAACCGAGACCATCAATTACGACTTCGGCGTCATGAGCTGTAGCCTATGAAGAAGTTTTTAAAATACATGATTTATCATTAGCCTTCTCTGGAGAAATTGTACACGTTATCCCCAACTTAATACTTCGATCAGACTGACTTTTAGTTGCATAATTAGCTTAAATATCGCTTCGTAAATAACTCCGTTTTCAAGACTGAGGTAAACACGCCTGTAAACGTTCCTGTTGGCTAGGAAAAGGCATGATAAAAAAAACGCGTGCTTAAAAGAACTTAGTGTTAAACAAAGTTTTTTTAACATCTTCCTAAAATATTTTTCTCTTAAGCAGCCACTGTTTGCCGATATTAGTGCAACTGATATCAACTGTACAGATATCGGCAAGAAAAAGGGACAGCAGAAGGCGCGGTATTTCCGAAGCTGAAATTTACAGCCATTTTATAAACATCCTACATATAAAGATATTAAAAACCGGGTAAAATGTCTGCAAAAATGATTTTACACTGGGGGACATTTTGTATTCCATAGTATCTAAAGGTAGGGAAAATTTGCACTCTTTCAAAAGTCTGTAAATTCACGATTTATAGACATTTTGCGATCTCTGTGAATTTTCCAGTTTTTCCAGTGGTAACTCAGCTGTTTTGGTAGAGCTGGGTTAAATGGCGGACAATTTCACATATTTTGCAAAGATGGAATGCATGCAGAACCACGGCCAAGCAATAACACACCAAGCAATAACAGCAAAGATACTATTCGAAGGATGCGGCCTGTCAGGGGCCATTTGAATAACATCTGTTATCAATGCCGATGAACAGGCGAGTTATCAAGTTTGAAATATTCTTAATAAACTATATAAAAGTTTTCGGACTCGGCGTTCGTACCATATGAAGAAGTATGTCCGGAGGTTGTCGTCCGCTTCAATCATACAAGCCTCATCCATGCTGCTGATCATTCATGATTTGTTCGTTCTTTAGTCAGTTATTCATCATTCAAAACTTATTTCCTCACAACTTACAACTAAACAGTTCAACTCCCAATTGGGGTAATAACTTAGTCGCAATGCGTCAAGTTATGATACCGGAGGCCAAAACTGGATTAATGACTTTCAAATTCTCTTACCTTTAATATTTCCCGTATCACCATGGTTGAAGTGCCATTTTTCAGTCTCTCCCTGGAAATGTTAGCCTCATTTTTGAAACAAGTGAACTGTGAGAAAAATATAAAAGGATTAAAATGAATATTTTACACAAGAAACCTTACTAAAAGCAAGGACTAGGCTGGAAACCTAGAAACCCGCTGACAGGTTGCTCATCATATAATATTTTGGGCCGTTAGAAGAACGAACACATTCCATAATACTTTTTATTTGTAATTGTATCTTCTTAATTTGAAATCCAGTAACATTTATTCATAATGCTACACGAGAAAATAAAATGTGCAGGGAGTAGATTGTTGGAGTAAAATTATAGGTCACTATAAAAATTCCTCTAATTATTATGCCTTGGATCCACTATTGGCAAACGGGGGAGGAGTACTCAACAAACGTTTATAAGGGGAGGCACTGCCCTGAGGTTCAGTCCATTACCCTTTTATATACCATTTTTGAGAGAAAAGGTACCCCTTTCGTGTGCCTTCACATACCTAGTTTAGAGTTTTGCATCACTTTAACCTGCTGTAAATGTACTGTCTTTAAAATATGAATATTTAATAAATCACAAAACCACAACGTTTTCTCGACTCTTCCACAACCTTAAAATGCATCTGTTAGCCCATTTGGCCCATTCATACTCTTCGCTTGCAAAAATGTGGCTTTCTACACGAAATAGGATTCCTCCGCCTTAAGTTTTCCACCGACCCTTTTCGACAGTCGAGTGTTCTTTAGGATATAAACTGACAGTGTTTACTTTTCTCTTTTAGAGTGTAATTTTGAGTCTGCTGCGAAGCCACAATAGGCTGATTTAGCAACAGAACGGGAACGTCACTTGACGACGGGAAAGCGCGCGGTAAGGACTAAACTCGACTTCCGATGCTTAATTTGCCGCTGTGCCATTGGTCAAGCCAATTGTTTGATTTGCGCGCACCGTCGTCAACTGACGTTCCCGTTCGGTTGCTAACTGCCTAATAACAAAACGCGCGGGTGCCTTGGGGTCGGGTCTCTGGAACCGGAAAGTACAGCACGTGAAGTTTCCAAAATTTCAAACCGAAATTTTTCTTGAATGGAAAGCGCCCCAGAGCGCTTCCCAGATCTGGATAGTGACTAGCCTCCCACGCAGGCATTTTTAGGGGAGCTCGTCTTTCATCCCTCCCCAGGGGTGGGATGAAAAACGAGCTTCCCTAAGAACGCCTGCGTGGGAGCATAGTGACGCGTCGTCATTTCGCGGGGAAACAAGTGGAGGCGTCAGGAAATGTCGGCTGTTTTCTCAGGCTAGAGTAGTGACAAAATTTAAAATATTTAGTTTAATTATTGCTTGCAACGCAACTAGAAACATCGCCACAGTAATTAAAAAATTGCCGATAAATATCATTTTAGATACTTGGCAACTTAAATTATACTGCAATTGAGTGAAACATCGAAATAGTTCTTTAGTGAAATAGGAAAGCACCAAACTGACTATTTTTTTAAGGATGGAGCAAATAACCTTGGATTAATTTAACATGGATTTTGTTGAATTAAAGAAACTGTGTCACGAAATTTATCAAAATTCAATCACTGGGAACTGCCACTAAATTGAGTGTAACATAAAAATAACAACTCGAAACGTATAACACAAAAAATACAAAGGGAGGCAATGATGAACAAACATGAAGAAGATTGGAACGGTTTGCAATCGCGGTTTGCGAAAACTTGCTAGCCTAACAATTCTTCAAAGTACATTCAGTTCTTGTTTGTAGCGTTTGATATAATGCTTGAGAGACATACCTGTTCGAAGCAAAGCTGTGATTTTGTAATTCACAATTTATTTCTATTTTTTTATTATTATTTGTTTTTTTAAGTTCCATCGCGAATAACGACGAGTAATAGCCCATGTTCGATATATTAAAATTTTAACATGACTTCATTGCTTTAAGGTCAAAATTGCAAATTTTTAAGGACTCCATTGTCTCGAAATTCCCAGAAGAGACTTGAGCACAAAGAAAACTAAACCAAATATTGAAGAATGACCAGAAAGCTTCGGAGGACATATTACAATGTTAATATATCGAACGTGGGCTATTGGCAGGATAACCTAATTAGCCAGCCGTGCCGACACAGCCCCTTTAAGCCCAAGTTGAATTAGTATAGGTAATATCATGATTAGTAGTTATATGTGGCAAAAATACGTAATTTCACGAGCTGATAAGCGAGTGAAATTTGATACAATTTTGAAATATCACGAGTGGTATTTATAACAAATATCACGTACAAATTATGCTATTATTTGTTTATACCACTACCCGCAAAAGGTTTGTAATTTTCAAATGTATGTATTTCAAATTAAGCTGAAATACCACTGCTCTAAGCCAATTAAATTGTAGAAATTTCTCATGTAGTGGTATAAACGTTAAAAAAACGTGGGGAAAGGGCTTGGGTCACCGATTAAAGATATTACTGTTACGGAAGACTGAAGAACTTTCAGTGTGCCATTTTTAAGTGCCGTTAAAATGAAAACGACCGTGGCGCCGTTACAGATTAGTTTCGCCTACCCTTTTTTCCAAAGGCATTGACCTACAAATAATCTGATGGACAGGTGGCTTCAAAGTTGTGGAAACTGAAGGAAAGAAAAACAAAAAAATTTGAGGGTAAAACAGTCTCTCACTTGTGCCATTAAATTTCAGGAAGTGGTGCGGGCAGACAGTCGGCAAATAATTGAAAAGAAATTGAATCTTGATTCAGTCGGAAGGGGGCATTGAAAAAAACTTGGCACGGCGTGACTCTTTATCGGTTGGATATCCAACTAATACTATTTATAGCGACACTTTATTGACAGATCGAAATTGTGAGTTGGCTGATTAGTTTTGTGGAAATTCTAACAAAAAGCTTGACGATACAAAAGAAATCCGGAGATTAATTTGAAAAACTATTTGGGGACATATTTGATTGTAATTTGAAAATAATCGATTATTCAATACATTAGATTTTCTTACCAGAAACAGTCGATGTTGAGAGCAATGATCCCACTTGAGTTGACAAAGGAGTGTATCGAGTGTAATAGATACTGACAGTTGACGATGGTGACATTTTAACACTGGGGCTCAACCCACCACTTTGTCGAGACGGTGTCGGAGACGGTCTTACTGTAGCGGAACAAAAAACTGCAGAAAAGAAAAAGAAAAAAAATGATGCATGTCACAAAACAAGCAATAAATCTAACCTTGAATTAAAAGTAACTTAAAAGTGCACTGCACTGACATCGACTGACGAGAACACGTAATAAGGCCTATTGCTAGACCAACGTGAAGTTCACAGCTTTCTTGATTATGGGGAAACTGCGTGAATTGGCATCTTGCTTTTTTTGCCACATGAGCGTATAATTGTTCTTTCAATGTTCTTAAGTAACATTACGTATTTCCTCCCTATTCGGAATGGGACTCTTTAAGCAACTGAAGTTTCCCAGTTCAACGTTAGGAAAATTTTATGACGTATCAAGAATCCACAATGTAAGGGAAAGCTGATCAGTAATACACACTGTTCATATTGACCAATACATTCATTACTAACAGTTTTCCTTGTAAATACTGAGCTCAAAGGCACTCCTTCTCAAATTTAAAGGGTATGACCAAAGTTTCGTAAATGAGTAATTGGATGAAGACCATGCATGTTTTTTCCAACTCTTGGATGGAAAGTTCACGAAAACTCCTGTTGTAAAGTATGAAACACCACTTTTCAGGGAACAACAGAACGTCTGAAAAGTGTACTCCTATTTTTCCGGACGGAATATTCCAAATGAGAATTCGTGTTCCATTTTGTTACAATCCATCTTTGAGACCAGATTCAGGCCTTCGAGACTTGTTTTTCTGTAGAAGGGACTGATTTGCTGCATATAGGCTTAACGCAATATCAGAGCGGAATTTTACCAGTCCTGAATGGTACGCAACATGGGTGTCCGTTTGGGAGCTGACGGTCTCAATACGGTTATCCATTAAGTGAGAGTTGATCAGTAAACAAAGGGGGTAATGAACATTTAGGTCTCGTTGGTGCAAAGTTTCAAAAAGACTGACCTCCGATGAAAAGGTTTGCTTAACAGCTGCGGGGCTCAGAAAATGCTGTCAAATTTTGGCTGACTCCTTGAAAGTCTTAGGGGTCAGTTTGGAGCTATATTTTTATACTTTTTATAGGACAAATTTTAAGTGTAATAGAACTCGCACCTGTAGCGTTGATACAATCTTGTAAAGTTGCATTGAAAAGTGGCCTATGAGATGGGCACGTGTGATGGTAAGCTGTTTTTCCATGACAGTAGTAAAACTTTCTGCAATCATTTGGGTCTGGAAAATATGAACCTCCTCCATGGCAAAGGAAAGCATCTGCAAAAGACAAGCTTTAAGTATTAGGAAACAAAAGTAAGGGTATGAACATGTAGCTTTGGAAACTTGCCCCAGTGCAAATTATCAAGATAAAGCGGCTGGTATTTCAGTGATAGGTTTTGCCACAGGTTTTCCATACTCTGTTTGAGTTAGAGACTGGGCTCTAGACGTAGCCTTTCAAATCGCCAAATTTGTGGCTTTTTTTACCATTGAAGATAAACATGAACACCATCAAACTGCTGCAAAATGCAATACCGGCTACATAAACGGACGATGGTGAACTCGCGCTTTTACCAGGTGGATAAGAATAATACTAAACTTGAAACTACAAGACAATCTCTATCAACCAGCATTTAATATACAGTATACGACTATTATTTGGCTTTAAACCGGATGTTGGGAAGCTTAGGCGGTCATCCAGTAGGAATACGCCTTCCCAGTCACAAGTGTTCGGACAATTTCGCAAGTATTTCACATACCGAATTTACAAAAACCCTTGTAAAATAACTTTTCAAACATAAGTATAATGTCATTTGAAGCTTGGAAATAATAATTTAAAAACAGAGTAAAATAAAAAATATAGAGTTAAAAGGACTAACTAGATAACAATGTATTTATTTTTCCTTCCGCTAATTAAATCCATATTATCGTCTTCATCCGGATTATAAAAGAAAACCGCAACGCTTACCACGAGTACAGTTCTTTACTTAAATATCATTACATTTTGGATAAAAAAAAACTGGGAAAGAAAATGAAGAAAGCCTCAGATTCCTTACTCCTCGAGCTTTTGCCGAAAAACATTCATTTAACAAATCTTATCAGCTGAGGTTTCATTTTACTCGTTTTTTTTTTCTGCATCTCAGGAAGTCATTTATGTGTGATTTTCATGGAAGAGTTTCATCTCCATTTTTGTTAATACCGTTAATGTCGTAACAGTCAATTTTCTCCGTACTCGCTGTCCAGACGTTTTTGCGTGGCAACCTCCTAGCGACAGAAAACACTGTTTTCCAAAGTTTAAATTGAATATCGATTCCCAGTGCTCAGTTCAATTTCAACTATTAATATCCTAGCCAAAATCTGACAATAGCCAGTGATTATACTGCTAACAGTGGTCAAGATTCCTTAGCCTAACGCTCCTCGATCAGTTGAAGTAATGTCAGGTGAAGGTGACGTTTCTTATAACTTACCGTTATATGTTATACAGAGAGAACTGAAGCATCAACCGGGTCAGGTTTAATTTGAGATGACCACCGACGAAGCAACGTAGAAACTAATTTTGTTTATGCTGTGCCCTCTATGGCCACCTTTTCCTCGCTGATACAGACGGGCACTAAGGGTAAGTTTCGAACATGATATTCATATGCTGAACTGCTATTCCTACAGCACCCTCAAGGACAATATTTTTGTTAGATTCATAGTCTTCCTACCAGTTTTCACAAGAATCACGTATTTAAGGCAAGTCATCGATGAATCACAAACTGTCGCTAAGAAATTATCATCCGATACTGTGTCAGGCGTTGAAGTCATTTACTCGGCTTACTTAACTTAGAAGGAAATGAAACAGGTTTAACTTACCAGCGGTTCCAATGTCATTTAGGCAAAGCATGTACACCTAAAAAAGGTAAAAACACTTCAAATGAGCCTCTTCAGACGATGAAACTGGAGTCCATTCAAAAATGGTAAAAATGGAACTTTGTCCACCTCAGCGAGAAAGATGAGTAAAGCTTGACAAAGCGTCGACATTCTTCTATTTAAAATAAGGGTAACTTTTATACAAAGCCACCGTGAGCCGACTACCAGCTATGTGGTATTAGTAAGGAGAAAGGCTACGTGGTATTATCAAGGAGACCAAGGAGTCAGTAAGTGAAACTGTGCTAGTCATGCTGGCATCATGTCCCATCGTGTCTCTGAAATTCGAGAGTCTAAATGCTTACTAGAAACCTTAACCGCCTTTTGTTTTTCTCGGCTTACCTCTTGCCACAGATGTCGGGTCGGTTCACATAAAGCTAAATTTACATAAGAAGGAAAAGAGCATTATAAGATTAGTAGAATTATTTCTGTTCTTCAAACTTAATTACAGGCCTTTAACCTACTGAATAAACGGTACTTTATTGAAAAATGGGGAGCAGAAATTCAGTGAGGATCATTTTTTCAGCCGTCGTAGATTATAGACAAGGGCTTGTTCAGAGAGAATTTCGACGGTCTTGGGATCTCTTAGGACTATAATTAACTCAAATAGGTACCCTCTGAAGGGATATACTGGGTACAAGCTCAAAATGATGAGACACCCTAACTACTTGTTATTCAAGTGACAGACGAAGAACAAACTTTAGTCTGGTTTTGAGCAAACATTCATAAGTCGAAACTTTTTTTGGCAAAGAATTCATCCAATAATGTTGCGTAGACGACAGGAAATCGACATCTGTCATGCAGAAAATAATTGAAAGGTCAAAATTCAAGAAGTCTTAAGTAACTCAACCGCCATCCCACTTTAAAAATTGACGGTGTTAGGCGTGACAAGACATTATCCATGACTAAGGTACTTAACTCGAACAAGGGAAGCACTTAACAACCGTTTTTCAAAATAGCCAATCTCCTTGACAAATTAAGCTCTGCTTATTAAAAATAAAAGGCACTTATTCGAGGATCTTTTTGGATGTGATCTTATTTAGATACTACTCCTAAGTAAACCTCTCAGTTTCGATTAAAGAAAATGCGAAAGGTTTCTTTGTTTACCATTCAAAAACATTTTTTCAATGAACAGTAAAAAAGCAAGGCTGTAAAGTCAGCCTTGCTTTTTGGTTAAAGAAACTTTTGCTGACTCCACCCTCCAGGATCCGACACTTTTGTTTAGTACGAATAGGCCCTTGCTTCATTAACAAATATTTTTTCAATTGTTTTGATTGGCTTAGTGATTATTACGGCACCTGTCAGGTTCTGTTCCTGCGCAGTAAAGAAAAAGTTTTGTCCCTGGCGAGGAATGCTCTGACCGTGCGTAGATTGGTTCCCAGTCTGGTTTGTTGCTAGTTTCGTCTAGTTGTTTACAGTTGTTTCCCCCAACTGTAAACAAAGTATAGTCAAAAGTACACATTGTCTTTTTTGTGCGTTATATGCTTTCGTTTTGAAACACTTAAACTCAATCCTAAAAGAGATCGTCAAGAAAACAAAAGAAACGTTTTGTCGCCTTGGCGCTTTGCTTGCAATAAGCAGTTTGTGCAGTCAGTAAAAGGCCCAACTAGTATGTCTCTTTCAATTCCCAGGGGGAGGGGGGTACTCCAGGGAATTCTTGGTGGGGGTGTGCCGCCTGGTTCTCCGAATCCTGACCCTATTTCAGACCAAAAAATTTCATTTTTCATACCCGTTTTCAGACCTAGCCTCAAAGAAATTATGAAAAAACTGTTTGAATGCAGAGGTCAACCCAACGCTTAAATATAACTGACTTGTTCCTCTTGCCGGATCTCTAAAAATATAACTGACTGGTTCCTCTTGCCGGATGTCTAAAGAAATGCTGTAGCCAGACGTCACTTAAAGTGTGAAATAATTTAAAACAAACCTTAATGCAGGGCTGCAAAGGGCTGATTTATTATAGGCCAATATTTCGGCTAACAAAATTAGCTTTCCTCAGAGCCAGAGCTATACTGAGAGAAAATATCTTTTAACGGCTCCTAATATAAAATTTGAATTCAAAATTCACATAAGTGGTTAATAAAGTAACTACAATAATGATATTGGCCTATAATAAATCAGCCCTTTGCAGTAGTGCCAGCCCTGGATTAAGTTTTCTTTTGAAGAAATTATGTCATCAACACTAATAGATTAGAACGCCATCAAAAAAGACTTCTTAAAATCCTTTTCGGACTCGCACATTTCTCTTTCTTTCTTATTCATCTGGAATTAAAACGATAAATACGTTCATACTTCCTTTGAAGTCCATAACCGATTCCAGATCAAAATGGGCAAAGTCTACAACCGCTTTCAGACCAAAACGGCGCAAAACGTCAAAAACTGTACCCTATGTGGCGCCACATACCTATATGGCTTATGATAAAGGAGTACTCCCCCGGTCTTCTTATATCGAGTCTGTCATTTAAGTTGTCATGAAAAGACTCGTCTTCTCGTTACCTTCTCTTTATGGGCGGATTAATGGCGGCGGCCAGGCCCTTTTAAAATTTTTTAAGAATTCCCTTAGAGTTTGATTAGCTAGATCAAGGCTATGTCACGTGGATACTGCTGTTTTAGGTCATTTATGTGATGAAGTCATTACTTAGTGCATTTAGCTATACACAAAATGCCCTTGTAGGGTTATAAATAAGAGATCAAACAAGTTTTATCCAGTAGCACATACTATAATATTTTTTTGGTGATTTTTTGAAAGGCCTGGGCCAACTTTTTCAAATGTTAACTATAGTCTTGAATAATAAAATTGTACCATTACTTTTGAATTCAATGAGGGGTCTTTATTATTTGATGCGAAAATCGTTTTTAGCTTTTCAGAATAGATTGTCAATTAAAGCGTGACTTAACCACTTTAACTTCTGGGTCCAGTTGTTCGAAGGCCGATTAGCGCTTAACCCAGGGTTAAGTTTAACCCGGGTTTCTTTTTCTTTTGTTCAAAAGCCTTTTCTTAGATAATTGTCTCGGGTTTTTGTAAGAGCATGCGATTATCAACTTGTTGACAAAAAGAACTAAACTAAATTTACTTTTGAAGCTTTCACATCTGAATTCAAATTTTGCATTAATCCTGGGTTATCTTAACCCTGCTTTGAACAACCCGGCCCTGGACATAAAAGCTCTTGGGGTTCTTTTTAAATCACTCACGTAGTGTTTATCAGCCGACCCCTTCTCTTTGAAGCCGCTCTTTGAATTTGTCTGGATCCGCCCTTGCTATAATCTATTTATATACATGTCAGCAGTGTTGATGTCTGTGTTGCCTATTTGATCTTTTACAAGGGAGGATAAAGCTTTATCCTCTCTTGATCTTTTAACAAAAGCTTTTTCAGTATCGCTTCACTTGAAGAACACAAATGGACTATACGGTGTGAATACATTCATACATAGAACTTTATTTAAACGTTAACTCGGTAAAATCATTCAGTAATGTACAAAGCTACAAATAAATATTTTAGTTAAAAAAATATATCTGCGTACACATTATTAACTCTTTTGCAAGATTGTCAAGTGGTAAACCGATGGTTGCATCACTCGATTGATTGCCCTATTGACTTGAAGTTTCTAACATATTCTGGTAAAGAATAGCATCATTGAGCTCCGCTATAACTTAAGCTTAACGCATTAGCTCAGTTTGGAGCGTGGCTTGGGCAGGGTTAGCTTATCGCTCGAGTTTCGTAGATCGTAATATGAACTTCGTTCATTTAACATTCATTGACTAAAGTCCTGCAAGTACACTGGAGCTAGTGAATGGGTATGAATGGTTTTTGTGAGACCTTTGATTTTACTGGATAAAACCCAAGGGAGACAATTTGTGCTCTTTAACTTTGAGGAATACTTTGTTCTCGGCATTTTGTTACTTTGACTTCAAAGGAATGACTGCCCTAAACAAAGCCGTTTTTTGTGACGCCTTGACCTCTAGCTTAACGTTTTGATCAAATCAAAAATGAAGTCTCGAAGTGTACATTGTATTACACTCTGACGTCAGTACTTGAAACTTGCTGCTAAATTTAATATCTCATGAGCATTTTGTTTACTTTCTGCAGTCGAATTCGTAATCTGCTCGAAGTCCGTTTCACTTTGGCAAGCCAGGCAGGTAAGGCTTGATGTACGTTGTGCATTCGTTCATCCGAAAACTCAAAACTAATGTTTGAGTACGAACGCCCTTTTAAAGGAGTTATTTGTTTGTTAATTGCTTGTAGTTTTTTTGTTTGATGTGTTTGGCTAGCTATACGAAGCTTGACGCGCAATTAAAATTAGCGATCTGCTTTGTATACAGAACCGAATGCTTTGAAAGAGACTGAATGGATCCACTGGACGAAAAAACGGATTTACCAATGTTTGCGAAAGGTGCAAATATGTGGTAAATTTGGAGCTCCAAATTTGCATTACATTTGCGCTGTCGGCTAAAGTGTGGGCAAATACATATATTTGCTACATAGGTATTGATACGCAAAAGTCAAGTAAATGTAATGGTTTGATACAATTTTGATACATATTTGCAGCATGGGCAAATCTTCAACATTTCTACCAATTTACTCAAATTTACATCCTTTGCAAAAATGACAGGTTTCACTGTACTTCAAATGCAGGCAAAAATATTGTAAAACCCCTAATTTGCACTGGTGTTTGCTCTTGTTTTTCCAGGATACCAAAAGAACACTTTTGCATGTGGTTTACTAGTATTTGCCTTAAGAGCAAAAACAATAAATTTCTACACATTTGGCTGTATCATAAATTTGAACATTTGTATTATAATTATCCATATTTGCAAGGGGAGCAAATATAGTGAACTGCGTAACATTTGCTGACAGTCAAAGGTGATGTGCATGTGACATTTCCTATATGTTTGATTCGTTTTGTGACTAAAGTAAATTTTAAATCTCAACTGTAACATTACATTGTTACAATAAAATTTTGTACACGCTGTGAGACTCCGCCCAGAGGTCCAACCCCCTACATGCATCTTTCCTGTTAACTGTTTTATATGCACTGTCATTTTAATATAAAGTAATCAGAAACCAGTTACTTTTTTTGACAATTTTACAGTCACAAATTTCTTCTGTTAGTCTTTTTACAGAACGAATCAAATTTGGTCCAAAATAAAAAGTTTTGTGGATTTCAAACTCAGGGTTGTGATTATTCACTTGGACACAATTTCCTCATGGTCATTTAACCAACAAACTTAATTCAAATTAAAACCAACAATTTAACTTTAACCGGTATTTGTTGTAGTTTTGACTGCCCACCTAGAGATGACCGCATCTCGATGGTAGGCTTCCTAAAAATGACCACATTTTGAAAACCCAACAGCCAATACTACAACAAAATATGGTGAAACTGCTCACAATTTTATTTGAACATTAACTCAGCCAACAAATTTATGAAAGGCTAATTTTTCTTACTCTGTTGTTTGCAACCCTGAGTTTGAGTTTCACTGATTTTAATGTTGATTTTGACTTTTACTGTTCATTAAGTACTACCCATTCAATCCAAAAAAGTCATAGCATTTTTGCTGACTAAAATTCTTCTGAATCCTGGTTATTTGATCTTGGGATACAAGGAGCGGGGTTGTGGCTTCCCCAAAAAAATTCTGATGAAGACAGGGTCTTCATATACAGGAGCTATCGGTCAAATCCCACCCGACAAAGCATCCCCCCGCCCCCCATAAAAAATGAACAGACCACTACTGGGTTACAGGAGCTCTGAGTTGGCCTTGGATCATGAAAAGTTTAAAGCTATAAAGAAAAAACTAAGGCGGTGAAACAAATTAACATGCAGCATTTATCCTTCCAGGCTGGGTTGTTCAAAGCTGGGTTAAGATAACCCAAGGTTAGTACGAAATATAAATTCAGATATAAAAGTTTTAAAAACAAATTCATTTGAATAATTCCTTTTGCGTACAATTTGGTGATTTGATACTTAAAAAAGAAAAGAGAAAATTATCTGACAAAATGCTTTTGATTAAAAGAAAAAAGAAACGCGGGGTTAAAATCTAACCCTGGGTTAGTGCTAATCGGTCTTTGGAACAACTGGGCCCCGGTCTTTTTTTCGGTCCAATTCTAAATCACATAACCACTTCGAAGTGAGTCAATGGTACATAACCTGGGCATGTGTTGCATTCCTCTTCTGTCATTTGATAATAGTAAAGCCTAGGGTCGCACAATGGGCAGGGATCTCCAATTACTAAAACTAAAAATTCAAAATGACACAGTAACTGTTGTATATAGTTACAGAGGGCCCACACTACCTCCCCTTTACATAAAGTAAATACACCACAACAAATCTACTGGACAAAGGTCCAGTAGTCAGATCATTAATTTACTGTATTTTTTCTACATCATAATATTATTATTAAAAAGCTAACAATAACAAGGCCACCCACAGTACCTTAAATTTGGTCCAAAAAAAAAAGTTCTGTGCATTTCAAAGTCAGGGTTGAGATTATTCACTTGTACACAATTTCCTCATGGCCATTTATTCAAGAAACTTCACATCAAAACTGACAATTTTGTTCTTACCGCTATCTTGATGGTGAGCCTCCTAAAAATAACCACATTTTGAAAGCCCAACAGCCAATACTACAACAAATGGTGAAATTGCTTTGTATTTCATATATTTTGTGAATAGAAACTCAGCACAGACATGAACGAATAATTTCTTTGCTGCTCTTTACAACCCTGATTTTGAGTTCAATATGATTTGTCTTTTTAAACTGCTCAAACAGACTGGCGAGATTTATATCAGTCTTCACTCAACAACATTAACATGGTGCATTTCTTCACGTAAACCTAAACTTCTTAGACCAACGGGGTTTACACCTTCAATATTTTTATACCCTTTTCACTAAATGAGTCGAATTTTCATAGATTTATTTAGTATAGGAATTCACACAGTAAGATAACTTTTTGATTTTCCTTTTTAAATAGGAATACGATATTCTATAATTGCTTGACAGAAAAAAGGTTCCAGTAAAAAATTTGTTTTGAGCAGTGACAGAAGACATGAAACAGTAAATCTCAACTTTGGATCTGTCTGAAGGCATTTTCTTTGCCCTTCCACAAAATGACTTTCTACTTTCACTTTGCCACTAACTTTTGCCATGACTTATTAATGCCAAGTGAAAACATAATATCTGAGGCATATTTCTGAATCTATATGTCAGTGCTAGTGAGCAGTCATGGACTGCTGTTTTGAAGGGGCATCCGATAGCAAGATAGCCTTTCGAAAATCAATGAGCATTGGGTGGTACATATTGTTTACCTCTGTAAGAATAATGTTGTCACTCTTTATATCTCTGTGGGGAAACCTCTAAAAGTGCAAATGTTCTATAGCTTCACACAATTTCAGTACATTATGTTCCCCGCAGAACACTGTGAAAGGGACATGGATTTACTTAGCAGGGCACGGCACAAAGTACAAGAAAAATAATATTGTAAAGATGCTAAAAATATAACACAAGGAAGTACACGTGAGGTTTCTTTTTTGTGACATTTACCCCAAACAGATGGGGTATTGATGGATGGGAGCATTCAGTATATAAGCTTCACTTCTGTTATCTTGTGAAGAGGAAAAATGATTACTGTAAATAAATTGACACCCACTGGAATACCCCTGTAGCATTTCTTCATGCACAGACCACAAACAGCTTCCCCATGTTGAACCTGTATTTCATTGACCTCTTTATCTTTTGGAGAGTTCAGGTGATGCAACTCAATTTCAAGAACATTGGAAATAACTCCTGTACCACTCAAGGAAAAATCTGAAACAAATGTACAAAAAAGTCACTAAACCCACTAAAAATAACTGGCAATTCTACCTTTATTGAAAATATTGTGAAATTAAATGAATTGTGTTATTTGTGTTGCCATTATCTTTAAGGACATTATAAATACACATGTGGCACATTTTAGCATTTTTGACCTTTGGACTCAGCTTACATTGTACAGCTGTATCATCATAAATTATTATAAACAAAACAACCTTGTATATGAAAACATGACAAAACAAAACAGAAAAAAATGACAGTAACGCATATAAAATAAAGGCCCCACCCTACCCCTGTCAAAATCACTGGTACATGTACGGGTATTACGCTCAATATGTCAATATAGCGCCAGAGGAAGTATAAATTACTCAAGCAATTAATATTGAGCTACTTCTGCCAAATACCAATAAATTAGCATTTTAACATTGCATAACTACATATTTTGCTGACTTAACACCACTTAAATTTTTCAACAAGGCTTTTTTCAGCTGGATCACTATCATACGCACGCGACACGCGTGCACATTCATGTATGGATGCAAATGTAGTTTATTCCCGGTTATAACATAGATGTGGCAGTAGAAGCACGATATACAAAGCAAAATACATCGACTTTACCTTTTAAATTTCGAATATCCTTGAGAAAAAATCCAGCAACATAGGCAATCTCTTCCTCCCGCCAAATCGCCAAAAGACCGCGCGCCCGATTTCCCAAGCACTTGCGCCTCAATGGTGCTGGTCAGCGACAGTCTGCATAAGCGTTCGAGAACGAGGCACAACAATTGAAATCCAAATTTCGTCGACCGTTACCACGTTCCATTGCCATCGATTTGCCATCAGCTTTTACTTCATACGTTTAACGCCATATTTATCAAGAGTTTTCGAATTTTCCTTCTCTGTGGGGTTGACTGTCGAGTATGGAGGAATCGGCCAGTCTTATTTGTTCGAATTTATCGCACGAATGTGTCCTCGAAGAACTTATAAAATAATCGCTCGACCTCGAGGGAACTGCATACTTATAGACCGTTCGACGAAAAGGAAATTGCACTTATCCACCATGAAAGACATCTAGATAGCTCCATCGGCGACGATCAAGTAGTAACGAGTGGATCCAAGAAAAGCAGCCGTTAGTACTTAGTACATAGATGCTGTTAGCAGACATTGTAAAACTAAGAAGAGGCAGGAGAAATGCAAGGACAAACAAATGCTGAGGGAGCAACTAATCGGGAGTAAAAGAAATGCTCAGTAAGTATAAGAAAGTTCATTGTTACTGTTAAGCCATTAATGATGCTATTTGAGAATACCTACATTTGCATTCCCAATATTCAGTAATCAACAAGGACTCACCCCTGGCCTACTCCTGAAACTTTATTTGTCCTGTTGTTTTAAAAAATACTGTAATCTTTTATTTGGTTGTTCTCTTCAGATAAATGGTCTTGGAAATTTAATAAGAATTGAAGCAAGTGTTAATTCCCCACTAAGGCCAAAAATAACCTTATCCTCTAGTGCCTACTTTCTCCAAAGGCTTTTCCAAAATTTAAAAGGGGAGTAAAGCCAGTGACTGCCATGGTGCTGAAAACAAGGGGTAGCTAGAATTAAGATCATGGTACCCTGCTTTCACTGATTTTTTTTTTTTTATGATCACCCCATGTAATAGCCTGAAATTCATCCGATAAGGGATTCTGGAATCCGGGAAATTTTTGCTTATGGAATCCAGAATTTGGGCAATTTTTGTTGTGGAATCCTAAATTCTGAGCTTTGAAACCTGAAATACAGGTCAAACAATTGGAATCCAGAAACCAAGTAATCCACTGAAAAAGGTTCCGGAATCCGCAGCGTGGAATCCAGAATCTAAAACTATCTTGGATTCCCTCATATGAGGCAATTATAGTATAATTAAACTTTTGTTCCCAAGATACACTGTAAGTGATGGCAATATTGCAGAAGAAGCAGGTCCATGAAGTTTTAAGTAATATGTCAACAATGTTGTTATGGTAGTGATGTAGTGGGACACTCACTATAAAATTAATACAATGATTTACCTGGAGTCAATTGTCTTGTTACAAAAGGGTTTCTCGCATTCATTTTTTCATTTTGTTTTTTGCTCAAAGAAGGTCTTAGTTTTAACAGGTACAGTGTAATCAGGATTATGATGACCGGTTGGGGTTAGATTTGAGACATGAAAGTTACGAGCCAGCAATTTGTTTAAACTAGTTAATTTTGATATCAGTTAACTCAGGAAATAAGTAAGTTTAGTCACCTACTGTGACTGCAGCCAGTAATAATACATGTAATATCTAATAGCAACCTTTATGCTATAAAAGGCTAGAATATTTAGACAGAAAAGGACAATAGTATTTTTCATGACAACCATCTACAGCTTTAGTTTCAATATTAATGGTCTCAATTATGTATAATTTCTGTTTGTTGCAGAAAAAGCTAAAGAGACAACCCTTTTCCAGTCAACCTCTATTTCGAAGAAGGATTGTTGTAAGTTCAAAGCTTGTATAAATGTGGAGTACATGTCTTCAGAGCAAGGCAATACAACCAAGGAGATGACAAATCCGAGAAAAGTGCTTTGCAGGAGGCCTCTAGCATGGAGGAGTCAACAACTTAGCTTGTAAAAACCTCTTTGCCTAGCTGAACAGTAAAGTAAAATTGAAACAGTCACATGTAATCCGGTCATTACTCAATGACAATAGAAAGGAGGAATGGCTTCTCCTCAGAGCAGGAGGCACCAGATAATGCTCCTGAATTTGCTTTGTGATAAGGAAATATAAGTTAATCCAATGCTCTTAAAAAAATTCCAGATTATTTATGACTGGTCATACTTACAGGTACATGTACATGTAGCTCTGCAAATACAGTAATCCTTTAATCACTCTCTGTTTATGACACTGTTTTTTAGAAAAAGATAAATCTGTGTAAACAGTACAAATCCTGATGGTGTTGATTTGTCCTGAGAATTCTGGTGGCAGGTAGATCAAATTGGTTGATGTGATAAATTTTTCATTAGAATCCTTTGGCTATTGTTTGCAAGTAATGTACCAGTCAGCAGGTTAAAAAGGCCAATTAATGTACAAATGTTTCTTTTAAATCTATTTGCTTAACTGCAGGCATTTGAGTTCTACTGGCACCACTTCATAGTACATGTGTACTGATTACAGCAATTGCAACTGACCTGCTTGAACAAAAAACAACACAAATTTAGGCACATCCTGCTTTTTGTCATGATTTAGTATGGAATTTTGCAAAGGATTGCAACATGACTCAAGAAAAAGAGTAATGAGAGACAGCCGTGTAGTTATTTTGCAGGCTAGCCAGATCAACCTTTTGTACTACTTGTACGTGTATACTGAATTTAAAATAATTATTAGCTTCTTTCATTGGGACCAACTACAGTGACAATGGTAATGTTGACATGCTGTGGAATACTTACAGCTGGTCATTACTTTAATGACCCTCAATTTTCTTAGAACAGGGCAAGTACTAGAAGCTCCGGCTGGTACTTCCTCTAAGAGCATATCCAATACTATACAGGAACCATTAGCAACAAAAATGAAGTTAAAGAAGTCTGATCTGAATTTGAATAGCTACATGTACCTAAACTATTTCTTAGTTTGCTAAGTGCTATAACCCAGTTGTTATACCAGCAAAAATTGGAAACTGGTAGCAAGAATTAGGCCTTTCATTCTCATAGAGCCTAAAGAAAAAAATGCCACCAGAATCAAATTTTGTTTAATCTGTAAATAGCAATAAATACAAAAATACTAATTATTTATTAAAATGGGTGTCTTGAGGGTTACATTGAGTTGGAACAGGATTTTGTCCTTAGATGCAAAAGTTTAAGTAAGAAATAGTCTTGTCATAAGTAAATATTGGTCCAAGCTAAGGGTAAAAGGATTTTTAACCTGTTTCTGAGTTGCAAAAACCTAAACAACTGAAATAGGTTTGAGGCAACTCTGAAACACCTACAGCTGTATGTAGAATATCTTACACATTTAGATGAAGAACAATTTCCTTATAATATTAATAGTTAGTAATGATGTGATAGAGCATAGAGTGGAGACAAGTAAACATCAACGAACTGTAAAATTGGGAATTAATATGAAGAGCTGTATGTACAGCTGTATACTGTAGTTTGTAAAGTCTGTTATAATGTGTAAGCCACTTTGGTTTATGGAATAAATCATTTGAACATTAATGGGAGGTCACTGCTAGAATTTCTTTCAGTAACTTTAAAGTTTGAAGCTATAAACTTCAAGATTAATTATGGCCACTTGTTAGGAACCTGAAGTGAGCCATGTTATAATTAAAAATAATTTAAAAATTTTATCGCATTTGCTACAACCCAAGCAAACTCGTTTAAACCTTCGAAGTTGCATTTGCTACTTGAGAAAACATGCTCAATTTTATGGGTTTGATGACATTTGCCAACCAAATTAAAGTCAGAATTTGATTACATTTGCTACCTGAGCGAAAAATTGTACAATAGTAACAGTTTGATCAGATTTGCTGCTTAAGCAACTTTGTTCAAAACTTGACTTTTGACCACATTTGCCGCTACAAGCAAAATTCTGTGTTTGATCAAATTTGCACACCCTAGAAAATTTGTTCAAAGTTTAGGTTTGCTAACATTTGCTTCGTGAGCAAACATGTTTAATACAAAGAGTTTGGTTACATTTGCTATGCAAAGCAATCTGGTTTAATTATGAAAATTTGATCACCCATGATAACCCAAGCAAACATTGTTCAAATTAGATACTTCGCTCACATTTGCAAAGCCGCGTAAAAGTTCTGAAAATAACAGGTTTACATGCTTTTACATCTAAAGCAAAAGCTGTGCAAAACAGCAGATTTGCGCTATCATTTGCGTAATGTGCAAATATAGTTCAAAGAAACATATTTGCCTACACATTTGAACCATCTGCAAATGACCCTCAAATCCATGGCTGCCCATTATCTTTGCACCAAGATGTAAATGTTGTGCAAATGTGGCATTTACCGTCATTGCTACGGATAGCAAATCTAGTGCAATATCAGTCTTTGCTCTTGCGCAAAATTGTGCAAATGTGGTATTTGCTACACATTTGCTGTAATTTGGCTACCCTAGTAAATCCATTTTTTCGTCCAGTGGGAATTACAGTTTACTTTATAAACTGAAATGAACTGTTGTAGTCGTCGGTTGACTCGCGTTCGGAGTCAGTGCTGATCTTGCCTTCCGTTACAGGATCTTATACAGCCATGTTGAATGCTGAATGGGTCCTACAATTACATTATACGCCGGAAAAGTTAAACGCTACCTAAGTGCATTTGTGCTATTCAGTCCTATCTGCCGGACTTTTAGACGTCTGCAGCAACTCTTCCAAAAAGTTAGCAATCATGATAAGGAAATCATTGAAGTCTATACGTAGGGAGGGAGTCGAGGGAGTAACTTGAGTCAAGTTTCGGCTAAGGTGTCACTTGCCTAATTCCGTCTACTATTTTAGGCCCGTTACTGACACATCCTTTAATTGTAAACTCGGCTTACCTTTTCTACTAAAAACCTTTTGCGAAGCTCCTAGAGGCAATAAATACTGAGCTCCTCGAAGCTGCCTAGGGGCAGTTGTTTTGAAAATGTATGACCCTATTCCAGTCTAGTAACTCTGTTTAAATGCAACCCCCCATCTTTCATCATAGTCAGTGGTAAGAACGCTACCCGACTCAGCAGCCCCAGCCCGCGAAACTTTCTTATAGGAAGCCTACCAAGAACCTCTAAGGTCTACAAATTCATCGTATTTTGCTAAGTCATTCTAAGAGAAAATACTCTCAGTCACACACTGTGCGCTTAAATCGAGGCTTTACAGTAACAGCAGGGGGAAGATACTCTATTTGTTTCCCGTAAGCTTTGCTTTATTAAAATTTCTACACAAAAACACCAGTTGTAATCATAAGGGTCTCCTGACCTGCAGCAGCAACTTGAATAACATTGAGACATACTTGGGAAAGGTATGCTTTTTACTTGCGACATCTAACTGTAACCGCTTTTAGCTATAAAATTCATTCTGTTATTACAATGTATATAGTGAGTAATGTGCTGCGTAACACAGAGCAAGAAACTGATACAAAGAATTAACTCTCTAGAGCGAAAAATGTAATTGCTACATCGGCTATTTTTAGCACTTGATTCTTCAATCCACAGTTAATAATTCTGTTCTATCATAGGGCTTGCAACGTGCCCACGTTTCATACATGTTGGTTTTGCTGCGCTTATGCTTGTCATTTTTATTAGAAATGTTTTTCATTTAGATTTAATTTTAAAGTAAAATTTGCATAAACAATATCATAATCCGGCGATATGGAAAGTAAGCTGAAACTGCCTCTAAGCAGAGTTCTCTATCATAAAAATGGAGGGTATATATCTAAACAGCAATTAGTTCGTTCGAACGTTATTTTTTTTAGAGGGGAGGGGGGGAGGTAGGGGCGAGGGGTAACGTAAATTGTGAGCCAGGATTCATAGTTTGCTATCATTATCTAGTTATTGCTACAAGTGCACATAATTTTGAATATTCTGTAAGAAGTGTCAATCGGCCCTACATTTGATAACAAGCCCTAAAGACAGCTTTGGCTCCAACGACATTGTATGGTTCTTTGGTTACTTTTTTATAACTATATATATGTATATAGGTCTATTGCATTTTGAGAATAAAACGTTTACTTTGCAAATGCCGGAAATGCTGGCTTGCGTTTCTCAAAACTTCCGAAAATGTGAAAACTTTACAAGATCGAAAACTATGTCGGTCCACCTAGCAAAAAACTCCCATCGGAGATTTAAAGAAAAAAAAGATGATTAAAAAAAAAAAGGCTTTCCGGGGGCGAAAAATCCTTGGGAGTTTTGAGAAGTGCGCGTCAGGTGTTCAATATAATTAAGGCAAACTGAAAATATATGTTCGTTATTGGGGTTCTGAAAAACGGAAGGCGCTTTAGCATCGAAAGGCTATTGGCTTAGGGAATAAAAACAATGCCTCCAATATGCTTTAAAGTGATCATATGCAAACAGCTGAAGAACTAAAACTAATTTGCATTAAAAACCATTGATATTTTCGTTGCGACGAACACATAAAATTGGACACACTTTCAACTCGGGAGAATCGCCAGATTTTAAACTTTTGTCTTCCTCAACTAGACGATACGGTATGTTTACACAAATGATGTTAGTTTAAAACCTCGGTAATTGTTTAGCTTACGATAGCGGATCGAAACATATTCAGCAAGCGCAACAAGGTGGTGCATTTTGTGGGTGGAAATAATTCACATACTTGGCACTTATAACCGAATTCTAAATTTTCTTTGCATGGTGACTTTCCATAGGGAAAACACAAATTTCCATTTCTTTGCGCTTGTAAATGTTGTGCTTCAAAGCTTTATCAAATATTAATGCAATTTTTTTTTGTTTTGCATTTATGAAACTTAGTTCAAAAGACGCTGAAAGGCTTAGTGAATGACCACATGATATGAAAAAGCAGGGACAGTGGGAGTTTTTTTTTCTGCGTGTGTAATACACGCACACCATAGAGTACCGGAGGGTATTCCCTATAATTGCCTATACAGGAGGGCTCCACACTAAAGGGGTCTGTTTTTCAGGCTTTTGATATATGAAAAATTAGAAATTTCATCATGAAAAGGTAGCGAAATCTGTCAAAGGACTCGGCTTTAAGGGCTAGTAACAGAAGCAATATATGAATGTGAAAAAGTCAAGAAAACTTCCTGGTTTAGTGATTTATTCATATTTATGAAGACGGTGCATTGACAGTAGTTAGAAGGGATTTAGTCTGTTTAGAACTAGGTAATAAGTGAAAGAAGTACCACTTACCCAAAAAAATTTACAAAAGGAGTATCTTTTCTGTCTAAAATGATATCCTAAAGTGTAAAAGGTGTTGAACCTACAATAGAAGCGCAGCCTCCCCGTCTAAAACTTTGTAGAGTGCCCCTCCCGGGCATGATGTAGTCTGCAAGGAGTCACAAAAAATTAATTTGCACTACTCATTACTAGACTTCACTTCCTTCTTTTATTTGTTCAATTCGAAAATGTTTGCTAATAAACCCTTCTACGTGAAGCCATGTACTATGTGTATATTGAACAACGCCAACCCGAAAAATAATAAATTTAAAAAAGTAGTTCGTGAAATCTAAGAGATGGTTTTGCAAAAATCTCGTGTCTACAATCTAAACCATATATATTCTATTACAAATGCTACAGAATTGAACATAAAAATGGCAGTGCCATTAAAATTTAATTGAGCTTATGACGCATCAAAAAACAATAAGCACTACCAGCTGCATTGATCTACATCAGTCTTTGAAACAGATCGATATGATTCCATTGATATGTCAATCTTATATTCAGTATTTATTCCTAGCCTACAATTATTATATTATATTGTCAGTCTTCTGGCCAAAGTATTATGGCAAAACATCCTAACTTAACAACGAAAGTGGGCATGAGTTTCCCGTCAACTGCGATGTCCTTTTTAGAGAATGACACATCTCATTCCATTTTTTGGTATACAGAAATTCCAAGAAAATGGCGCCAGAACCAGAAAACAGCAGCCCCGAACCTAAGCCAAAGCCCGAATCGTCTGCTGAACCAAAAACCTTGTTTCCGGAGATCATGACCAATCAAGAGGCTTTCCTGATGTACGGAGTGTTCATCTTCGCCCTTACTGTCTTCTGTATCATTCTACTGGTTCTGTTCATACTGCTGAAGAAAAAGTTAGTTGTTTTAGATTACTTATTAATACTCAGCAGTTTCCTCTGACGATTTATAACACTGTACTGATTAGAAATAAATATTAATTAGAGAATAGCCGACAACATCATTGCCTATACGTGTTTGGCTCAAGCAAGATTTTATTTTAATCGATTCGACTCTTTGTGGTCCTTTGATGGCTTGCATGGTTAGTCATTACATTATCAGTACGCAGTCGATGATTAGCTACAAACAAATCTAGAGTCACGAATCTCTGACTCAGAAACTTTTTCATCGGCCTTGCATGAAAAACTGACCTGATATTTTCTTAGGGATATGAGCATTATTTGTGTAATTCATCTCGACTTGTTTCTTTAACCAATTAAACGACTCGTTCTGAGAGCTCCTTGGCGCACCGAACAAATAGGGCATTTCACAGTTGTGTGCTTGGTGACCTGGCCGTTGAGTGAAAAAGAGGCTGGAGTTATTTTGACTTTGTTCTGATACAAACTCGACCTTTTTTTTCTCATGTAAAACTGTTGTAAATGACCTTGTTTTCATGTTAAGTTACTAAACTGGAGGTAAAGTCGTCTTCATTTCTATCTAATTTAACGCTTGATAGTTAAGCATTATTCTTTCATCGGTGTTTCGTTACTTGTTATTCTTTAATTGGCGTTATTAGGACACCTGCTCTAAGAGAAAGACGTGAGTTGCAAAATGCATGAGAATTGGCTAATTTGTGTTATACGTAAGGCTTAATCCCTCTTACTGTTGCTTTATTTTAGGGTCAGGAAAATAGCAAGCTCGCTTGGACCCATGGACATGAAAATCCAGCATGGTTAGTCCAGTTTCCTGAATTTCTAGTGTTAATAATTTTTACTTATCATCTACTTCTTTTACTTTGCACTCACGACATGCTTTCAAAGATGCGATTCAAATGCCTGAAAGATTTCTCTTAGGGACCTCCCCCTTCCCGACGGTAACTCTTGAAGAATTTGAGGGGGGTTATGCGGTATGTTTTTGAACCCTACTTTCATTCAGACCAAAATTAGTGATGTTTCCTTTCCCACGTCTCTGAACAGCTTTTCCCATGAGACGAATGAACAACCAATTCCCGCCACTGGTTCCAGGGATCACAAAGCCTTACCTTATATCAGAGCCAAATGGCTAGAATTCAATTTCAAAGTGGTCAAAACCACTTTTGGCTCTTCTATTCTTCCCTGTAAATCTGAACCACTATCTACCTTCCGTTGTTTTTGGACACTCCCACCATCGTAGCCTCCCACGTAGGTGTTTTTAGGGGAGTTGTATTTCCTCCCTCCCCACAAATATGAATTTGGTAGGTACAATGTGATTGGCTAAGAGGCGGAAAGGAATGTTGGTCTTGGGTTAGCAGGCGTGGGGAGAAAGGAAATACGACTCCCCTAAAAACGCCTGCGTGGGAGGCTACTGGTAGCACCATCGTCGAACAAAAAATAACTATAGAGCGCTTTCACTCGCGTGACCAGCACCTATGAAAATTGATCGGAACAAAAGAAAGCGTTTACATAAAAAAAGATTTCAACTAACACAGGACTGATTTGGAACACCAACATGGCCGCCGTGACGTCATGTGAAAACGCTCTGTACTTCTCAACGGCAACCATTCTTGCTATGTTATTGTCTTAGCCTCCCAACCCTAGAAAATATTAAAGTTAATAATAAAAAATTATGTCAAATCAGCCTCAAGATATTTTTCCGTTATTCCTTTAGGCATCTGATCTTCATTGATGACGCCGGACAAGGCACTAAAATGGGGACCCCCAAAAGTTTTATTAACCGTTCATAGATATGCAATCATGCAAGATACATTAAAAATATAAATAGTCTGAGTGCCTCAGCGCTGCGCTGTAAATTTGCTGCATAGCATGTAAAGTGAAGATTTTGTTCTCACCTTGAATGTTTAAGACGAAGCGTCAATATCTTTACTCGCATATGTATTGCATACTATATGGCTGTGCCTGAAGAAATAAAGAAAGCCCCAATATTATCCGTCTTCTTTAAAGATTTAATTCCTCGACGATCATCTCTGTCCCCTTTACAGCGGAGGGCCCTGGGCTTATTTTTATCAAGGTCACTTTCGAGTACCTAATAAAGTGAAATGTTAGTTTATTTCTCTGTGAGTAAGAAAGAAATAACTGTTTTTAAAATCATTAGTTTAGTTCTAAATACAATCGCGCAATCAATTTAACTTTCTAAAAAGCGCAGTAGCTGTATATCTACGACTAAATCTTTCAAGTTTTTTTCTATTATCATTACCAGCCCACGATAGCCTGTAAATGTTTTGATAGAATCAAGAATAAGCATGAGTATGCAGCTTCTTGGAACGAAAATGAGTTTTAGTCGCATGAAAGTAAAGGCCTAACTTACATTTTACCATGATGTGAAAACCGTCATATTTTTACGTTTGTCAATACCAATCTGCGTAAGAGAGGTCTAGGGCGAATTTGATAGGGGAGACTAAACTGAACTCTTTTTGTGCTTCTTGCCTTGCGAGCAGTGATTTGAATTTAAAACGAAAAAAACCTGACTTTTTTAGACTCTATAAAACATAAACAGAGTGTTTGTTTCTACCATAGCTGTAGCTAATTTTATACCGTAAACTTCCGGTTGTAAGCCCCTTATTTATAGGCCCGGGGTCTACCTGTAAACCAAAAAAATACATCTGACTATAGCCCCCCTCCTCTCCCCCCGAATATAAGCCTCCACTCACGTCCTGTATTAAAATGAATTCGACTTTTTACGACGTTTAGAAGCTTAAAGCGATCAAATTTAAAAATTATTTTAATCAGCAATGCTATGTAACTTGGTTTGAAAAACTTTTCTTGGTCTGAGTATTGAAATGACCCAAGACTTGGGAGGTTTCGCCTTGCTGTTAGTAGCAGACTAACATCTGGAGTAGCTCTACAGTAGAATAGTATGCCATCTAGACAAGGGGAGAACTATCCCCACCAATATATGTATGCGGACCAAAACTGCAACAAAATTGATTGACTTTTAATTTCTTGCCCATTTACTCTCAATTTCAGCAAACTGGCCCTTTAGTGTATAATCAGTCACCAAAGAGCCCCTAAACCTATGACGTTTGCCTTTTTAGCTCATGCAAGAGAAAGTAGAAAGTATAGATCCATGGAAACGACAATTCAGTCCACTATGATCAGAGGCAAAAGTAGGAATGATACCTTCCAATATTAAGGTAGCTCTTAAAGCAATACTGTGTAGCACCACTGCACTCATGGATCTAGTATGTACGACGCTTTTTCAGTTGATGTTGGGCAACAGAACATAAAAGCCCTTTTATATTCTCTTGTGTTAGGAGAGAATGCTATCCAGAAAATGCCCAATTATTAGTGTAACAAATTATGGTCAATTAAAGATCATAACGAGTAACCTTAGTAACGGTATAACATATGATAAACGCCCCTAGTTTTGTGGGGTAGGACAGGGGGTGGGAACCGGGAGAATCAGGAAGCAGGAGAGGAAAGAGTTGGAGGTGGGAGTTCTATAAAAGCAGGAAGCGGGAGAAATAGGGGGAAATTATGCAACAATGCTGAAAGGTTGGCTGCAATCGAAAAGAGCTAAACTGAGCAAGAAGAAAAGGGGCAGGAGACAAAATTGCAAACTACGAGAAGGGGGAGGTTTAGCTTCAAGCGTGGGGGACTGAGCTTAATGACTGTCATCATCTATTATGGAAATGTGTGGTATGTGTAGAGTTAACTTTTCGCAAAGTTTTAAAACACGTATAAGGTTTGGGTGGGTTCAGAGCCCCTTTAAATTATCGAGACATTAAAGCAGTCTGAGCCCATTATTGTTTAGGAAAAGGATAATTCTTGACGTGCTCATTACAATTCCAGAATAAAAAAATGGGAGTTAAGTTAACACCCCTTAAACCTTAGCTAATAACAGGTTTAATATAATTTCTAATGACAAACAAATATTAAACACAATTTGTTTTTTTAACACCTTCAAGTTATAGTGTCAAATGAAAAAGCTAGTATTGTAGCGATGATCAATCAAAGCAGAGGTGTTAAAAATATTGAACCGTTGTGAACGGCATTTCGCTACAAAAGAGAAGACACATTCAAGTAAAATGTGCTTTTGTATTTTTTTAAGTGCAAACTTCCTGAGTGTAATAATTGTCAGGCCCGGTTTTCCCTTCCCAATTCGCACTTAAGTTACGTACATAACTGTGGTGATCTTTTAAGTGTTAAATATTTCTGTCGGTATTATCACTTCTGAGGAACCGGGTCCTTCGAAATGAAATTTTTGTCCTACTGCTGATTTTTTTTCTTTACAAAGTTTCTCTTAAAAAAGTTTTTATAATTAGGACTAACTTCTAAAAGAGACGGTTGATTGTTAATCCGTAAATACAGCGTACTTGTTCCTCAAAAACTTCTGTTACGTAACAGCTAAATCATAAGTCTTCGGTACTGAAATTGAAAACGGGACATGTTTAAGACTTTTATGGTACTAAGGTTATTAATTTCTTAAGTGAAAGATTCCATACCTTTCTTCTTTGATACTCTTCTATTTGTTCTTAGTTGCGGCCACAAGTACTCTGCCGCTTATAAAACGCGATTCATACGAGCTTTGTTTCCTATATTATTCAAGTTTTTTTTCAAACAAGAATCTCCATAATCATGCTCAGCTGCTCAGGGACATGGAAATGAATATTTATAGATTTAGGGATGGATCTATTGGAAAGTATTTGAAAAGTATTGTTTTGGAATTAAAGAAGGTACTGAAAACAAGTCAGTGGTATCTAGAAATTGGAGGAATTTAAGTTCTACAAATATGATGTATAATTAGTAGTCCCACGGCAAAAATATAAATGTTTCCTCAACAATAAAGTCAACACACAAACTGGGATCAATAAAAACCTGCAGCATTTGGCGCCCAACTGTTTACCAACAGCTGTCAATCAAAACTTTTCCGACCACATCTTGTTAGTTTGACAAACAACAACAATGCCAAAGTTGAATGAACGCCTTGTTGCTGAGTCATATATGATGTGCGTCAGAGAACATGACTAAGCGAAACAACCCCTCTTCTAAAAACAAAGTTAGTTAAATCCCGATGAATATGAGGGTTTGCGGTCGTTTCAAGTCTTAACTCCGGCTCAAAAAAAAAAGGTTTCTGTTTTTAGGCAAAATTCTGCAATTTTTATTTCTACGACAAAAAGAAAAGAAGCGAAGAAACCTGAAATCATAGCAATATATTTGATGAAAAAAATCCTGATTTTTTACATTTCTTTATTCAAAGCGACCAAGGACTTTCAAAGGAAAAAGCTAAGGATCAAAGGAATAAACTTCCGTAGGAAGAGTGTTCAACCAGATGTCTCTAGACTTTCCAGGCTTGACACGCATGTTGCATATTTACCGAACAAAATAAAGACTTGTCATTTATCTTGCCAGAAGGAATGTTTCGTACGTATTTAAAAAGAGAAAACTGTAGAACGGTTCCATGACAATTACGTAAATTTTGTAAACAAATACGCACACTAGTAATTGTTTATTAAGGCAAAGAATTTTGCCGAGTCATATGTAAAGCCGCTTGCTAAATAGAGCGTGGAACAGTGTTTTTGAGCATAGCGGTATTTATGACTTTACTATCAAGAGAAAACGTTTTACGAGGGAGATGAATAAATAACAGTGTATATTTAACTTACCAGTAACACTGCTTTTATAAAACCTGAGTTTAACTGGCTATGAAAGATATGCTCACGTGGTATGGGAATGAAGTCACGTTATAGGTCGGATATTGATAATTATCTTAACACTTGGACGTCAAACAAAGCGTATTCAATAGCCTAGAGCTCATTGAAATAAGCATCATTTGCTACGAACCGGCAGTCTTAGAAGGGTTGAATTAAGAACAGCATCTGTTTCGTGTCAGTTAAACCAGCATAGGTAAGTTACTGAACCACGAGCAAATTGATTCGTTTTGTGAATAACTCAACTCACTAAAACTCCGTTTCACACATTGAAAGATCTCAATTACGACCGTGCGCTTATAACAACTTACTGAAAACATCTTTGTAAACAATTTAAGGTAACATTAGAGCACGCAAGCGACACTTACAGTTCCAAGATTGAACAATACATTCCATGTTGACTAAATATCTCTCTTATTTGATTAACAATGCCATCAGCGATTTAAGTTCTTGAATTGAAAAACCTTTTTTTGCGGTTCTATTGAAGAAAACACCATTGCTGTCACTTAATTTCTTGCATTGAGGCTGTAGTTTAAGCCCTACCGCTGCTTCACGCGGAGTAGCATCTGGAAGAAAAAAAAAAAAGCATTAATTCTAATTCGATCGTCCATCTCGCTGAACTAAACCGCTCCATAGTGGCTTCATCAGGTCACTCCAAACTTAGCAGTAATAGAGTTTTGTTGTCTACCAAAAATTAGTGAAAGTTTTCTTTTCCTACTCAATGCACATCTATGCTAGAACATGAAATATCTGCCCTTAAACCTAGATCTATGTGACCGGTCAGCCCGCTCATAGTAAACGAGCCGGTCTCTGCGCATGAAGTCAAACAACCCGGCAACAAAACCAAGCTAAGGAGGATTGAAAAAAGTTCATTTTAGCAGCAAATGTCTGCTATGCAGCTTATTTCTTTGTCAAGGGTCCCCAGGTGTCTCTCGCCGTCGTTGATTCTAATTTTTAAGAGTGTTCCAATGATTTCCTTATGATACAAGGAGCTACAAGGTGTTTTAATCTGCGTTCTTACATGATAGCCCTACTCTGTATCGACTAAATATAATTGAACATTACTTTATCACGGGATCCTAAAGAATTCCGTTATATTCTGGTACAAATATACGGCAACTGTGCCACGTTAGTTTTTCGCCTTAATTCATTAAATATATTTTTAAAACGAGGAGCACTGCCTCAAACTGAAGAGGAAGATAAATGTTTCCTAGAATGGCGCTGATAGTCTTTTGTTAATCACTCTTTCATTGATAAATTCTTTACGTCCTCTCACTTTAAATTAATCTAGATCAATGAAAGATGCTAAAACTCTATGTCCATTTTTTGTCACTATGTTTTTTAAACAGCCAATATAAAAAGACAAGAGCAACAACAACAAGACTTTCTATATCCATTGCTTTGAGTCCGGAGGCAGTATACTGTCCAGAAAATAAGAGCCTTCAAGTTCTAGTGTTTCAACTTGCGTTTCCCGCTAAGATTGTTTGCAAAAAGCCGAAAGTCTAGTTAAACCTAGCTAGATCGATAAAGTTTTTGAATGTGTTTTACCGTATCAACTTACTTGAGTTCCGTTTATCAGTGTGTATGCAAATACAGGAAAACTAGGCAACGATTTTTTCAATTTGCGTCAATCGTCAGAGGATTTGGAAAGATCGATATTGCTCACCGATTATTTTCCCGTTTGTCCTAATTTCGCGCGTCTTAATTAATTGTCAAAGGAGAATCTGCATAATCTGCATTGAATTAGAGTGTAAAGCCTTCAGTAGGTTTTTTTAAAGTATTATCGCAATTGCCTCTTTAAAAAATTTATTCGGTTCGTTTTATAGTTATAAACATCATATCGCTAAATCGCCAGTGCATGCTGAAATAAAGTTTTTTAATTCTTGCAAATTTCCAAAAAAAATACATTCGGAATTTTTTTTCAGTTTTAGTCGTATACCATGAAAATCAACCCAAAATCGCTTTAAAAAATTGTATACCAACATTCTTAAAAAAAGTAAGAGAAGGGTAAGAGAATCACGGCTCTGAATCTTTGAGGCTCGACATACATTGTAAGCGTTCCGTTCTATTTTCCAGAACGAATGACTTCTAGATGTCTTGTAGTTGTTGTTTTTCTTTTTAGATGTAAGTAGTAAATACTAATTAACGTCTTAGATATCCTCTTAAAGTTCCTCAGTGTTCAAACGTTTAACGTTTTAAGCTGTCCGGTCAATTTTTTCCCCATCCAATTTACGGATTAAGGGCCGGGTCTCTTTTTGACTTGCAATTGCTCTTACTACCGTTTGACAATTAATCTTTTGGTTATCTGTTTAAACGGATATGCAAACCGTTTAAACGCTTTAAATGCCCGTTTACTATCTGTTTACAATCCGTTAATTCTTACCCGTTTAACGGTGAAAATCCTGCATGTACCCAATCTTTAAACATCGTCCGAATATTGAAGAATAAAGGAATCCATTACGAACTAAATAAGCCGTGAGGCAGTTTTCACAGTCGATAACAACTTTAGTGGCAAAAGACCGACTCAAGTAGATTAAGGTCTGGTTCTAAGCAAGAGAGAATGATCTATGATGAGCTCATTCTCTCTTGTTCTAGCTCATTCGTGATTTTTTACGCACGTTTTCCAAAAACCATTTTTAAAGACATCTGAGAAGAATAATAGTCGGTAAAAAGTAAACCAAACCTAACAATAATCTTGAAAAAAGAAATCCAAACCACCTCAGTAATGTAATCGACCACGCCCTCTATTGTTAAAAAATTGAACCAACGATACCACCACTTGCTAAACGTTTAGCAACAGTTTCTCTAGATCTGTATCAAAACAAAGTGTCTACGAAATCAGCTCGGAAAGGCTCAAAACGTTACAATTTGTTGGTGCAATTGGTGTCCATTGACTAGTGCCAGTCCTCCTCTTATGATCTCTTTCCGCAGCTTATGCCATCACTCGGTTCAGTCTATTTAAAATGAAACTCAGTAACTGGGTATTCGGATGTTCAGTTGCTTGTTGCTAATTTTTTGGGTTTAATTTTTTGTTAGCCATGTTACCTTACCGACACCTTTTGGATCATCATGCACCTGAACCCGAAAAATCAACAGCGGAACCTGAGCCGGACACTATCATGCCAGAGATAATGACCAATCAGGAGGCTTTCCTCATGTATGGAATCTTCATCTTCGCTCTTGCCGTTTTCTGCGTCGTTTTGTTGGTTATGTACATCCTCCTTAAGAAGAAGTAAGCATAATAAATATGAAAAGTTTGGCTTTTTTAACACAAACACCGCCGGAACGCTGGCTGCTCAGTTTATAACGTACCTTTTACCACAGTGGAGCTGTCTTTTTCTTTTGTTTACCAAGCAACCGTCACCAATTCCCGTCATGCACACATATCGTCTCCACCTCTGATACATGAGTGAATAGCCAGTTGTCAGGCAAATAACCTTTCACTTCAGCCTGGTACATGTTTCAGCACTCTACTTTCTAATTCCTTTCTCCTGGCTAGTGTGTGTTAAGTAGTAACACTGGTTTTCTGTCTTTTTTAGAGTTAACAGTTTAACTGAAAAACTTGGATACGGGCAAGGTCATATGCAGATGGGTATGGCTGAGAAAAAAGGTTTGTTTCTTTGCTTGTGTTTGCTGTAGTTATTATTTTTTTTTGTCATCAGTAAATAATTCAATCATGATATGGCTGGTTCTGCTAGCGAGCAAGATAACCCGTATCTTGCTGGCTTTCTTCAGAAGAAAAAAGTTTTCGACCATGAATAATATAGATCCTCTTTCAACCCTTATGACTGGATGGATATGTATAGGACTCATTCTGATCTAGTAGCCAATAACTTTGACTATCTTGACAGTCTATTATACACATTTTAAATACAACAATAGGGCCATTATTCGAGGGAAAATAAGAAGCGTCCTTCATTAGACGCGTCCTAAATAAGATGCAAACTATCCCGTATAAACGGCACATTAAGACGCGACTAAGCAAAAACGCGTCTTATCGAAGAACATGTGTTAGGGGCTCTTCTTAGGTAAGACGCGTCTTAGCTAAATTTCAAACGAAATGTGCCGTTTATACCGGATAGTTTAAGTCTTATTCAGGCTGAGGCGTCCTATGTAAGACGCATCTTATTTTTCCTCGTCTAAACGGCCCGTAATGTGCTTTTTATTTGTTTGCTGTTGTCATATCGATTTAATAGCAGTTGTTGTAGAAAGTGGTATTCTGCTGTATTATTAAAAGCAGAGTTTTATCGTAAAGAAATTTCTCGACTGGCCGTTCTTAAAATCCTGGTTAGCCTAGTTCAAGCAAGTGAGCCTTAAAAAACTTAGCAGGTTATTGTGCTTAGTACACGGAAATTGAGTGCGCAATCTGCGCATTTTGTTACTCGAGATTACGGCAAGGTTGATTCTGGTTCAAATCAGTAACAATTTGATTTAAAACCTTCCTTCTTATTTTTAACAGGTTATATTGCTTGAATCTGAGGAGATATTTCAATCGATGGTTGTTTGACCTTCAAACTGATGTGTAGTCTAGAAGTTTACTGAACTGACCACGAACATGGAATTCGCACCCTTATTCAGTGTTTTAATGACCGCCACATCGTGTGTTTGTTGGCGAGAATTATAGACAAAGAGTTTCTTGAACTAAACAAAGACGATTTCAAAAGTGTTGAACCGTACTATTGCCTGTAAAAATTTCTAGAGCATTTATGTTGTTTATAAATTTGACCACAAGCATTTTATTGTAATTGTACAGTGAAACCTTGATATAGCGAAAACCCCTGCGTATGAAGTCTAGTGATATAATTCTTTGTCCCAGTTATAGAGAAATGTATAGCATATGGCCTGTTAATGTTAAGCGAACGCTCCTTTTTTATAACAAACGTATTTTCCTCTAATTAATCTCAGTGTGTCTTTCCACTTAATATTGGGATTTTACTGTACAATTATATTCAGCATTACTTTTAGTATTTATACCAAGGATAGTTATAAACCAAGAAATGATGAATAAAAAACAATTAGCAAATACTGTTTCTTTCACTGAAGAGAGTCTGGCTTTAATAAAATCGAAAGATGGATGTTTTTATTATTTGGAACATTTGTTGTAAAATTTCTTGCTTGCATGCCTCTCCTAGGATTTTCGAACATATAAAAGATGGCATACTTGCCCATTTTTAACTCATTTTTACCCTAAAAAGTTCACCTAGAATTTTCGGGAGCCTATTTTCTGGCTAAAATTTTCGAAAAGGTAAGTTTTGATCCCTATAATTTTCGGATCACTAGATTGTCAGCTAGGAAATCCGAACAGATGAAAAATTTTTAGGGGATAAAAATATGCCTAAATGTACCGTTTAAATACTAAAATACATTCAACAATGCTATGTTTAAGTGGTTTTGAACTATATTCTCGTTGGGTGCCCCTGATTAAGGGGAAAATTTGGTCGCGTGGTACAAATTCACGTTTGCCGTTTGGCGTAAACGTGGGCTGAATCTTAATCTCTTTAATGACTAGCGACCTTGAGCGGACTAATCTTGCTCTTAAGTAACTATTAAATACCAATTGAAGCAGCCCAGAGTTACTCAAGACACGTTCTGGCCTTTCCAACTAAATGTCGGCAGTTTTCCTTGCTTTTTTTGATGCCTTAACCGCACAAATTCCCTAAACCGACAACAACAACATACTGGCTCATCCGGCTTAAACCCGGGCTGCGTTGTTAAATTCCGACTTAAGTTTCTTTTAGGCCGCGCGCAAGGGAGAAAACGTTTGGAAACACCTCCATAGTAACACGCCGCTTCGGCTCATAGTTTACTTTTTCATGAACATTTTGATGACTGCAATATCCTATTATGCACTTCAGTCTAGTAATGTGCAGAGATAGTGAAAATGAAGCGAAAAACACACCAGTCCATTTCCTTCCTCAGATTACGCGCGTCTTATTTTTGCTTGGCTAATTTTTGACTATTTTTGCGACCTCCCTACTATCTGAGAGCCTGGCGCAGTTTGTTAGTTGCTTAATTTTTTTCTCTTTGTTATTGGGCAGCAGGGGCGGATCCAGGACTTTTTTTAGGAGGGGGTGCACTCATCTCTTGCTCTACTTCAACACCAATGAACCACATACTTTTTTTTTGCAGAATACCAGTTGCATTAGATAACCGCAGGTCATCTTGGGGGGGGGGGGGGGGGCATCCCCTGCACCCTCCCCCTAGATCCGCCCCTGGGCAGTGTGTTTATCACGAGGATTTTCGATTTTCCTGTTTCTTCGCTCAATCGCTCCCAAAGACATTTGCTCATTGAGTATTTTTTAAGAAAACCAGACGTCTATCCTAGTTTCATTTCATCTAAAATTAAATGACTTTTAAATTTCGAACAGGCCATTTTTGCATGGTGGATTTTCATCGATCGAAACACATACGCTAAACTTTTATGAGCGTTAAATCGTCAGGAGACATCACCCCTTCAATCCGAAAGTCATGGACCTTCTGTAGCTCGTACCTGTAAGAGCAAGCAAAAATTCCAATAGCCTTTCTCTTCAGTCAACTTCATTTTAATAGGGTTACTTCAAATGCTCTTTTTTACGACGGCCATCTTGTTATGCGCAGTAAGAGATGCGCAGTGCAGAACCAGTGAATCACCTTAATTACTGAGAGAACTCGTAAACATGCCATTAAGTCCACTTCAAGACCCATCATTAGCGGCAGTTATCATCAATGTCTATTAAGGAAGCGTGTTACCTAGTTACTTGGCATTCAAGAGTATTTTTGCGTAGGATGACCTCACTTCTTAATAGTATGTATTTGTCTTTATGCTGCATTGAGCTGTCAGGGAGACGGTTACGACGTTTTGTGCGGTCACGTGGTAAACGTAATATTGTTCCTCTATTCATGGGTTACGCACGCCAAGCAACAAAAATCCATTCGGTATTTCAATCAAAACAACCCCTTACTTGTTCTGAACTGGAGTTAAGAGTTGCATTAACACCAAGTACTAACGGCTACTCCCTTAAAAAGGTAAGCGTTTAGTTAGTTGCTCAAACATGGCTTCCTTCAAATCGGCGTCCTCGAATGTTCGCGACTAGGTAAAAGTCATGCATGGTCAATGTTAGAAAGTGCAATGCAGCCGTTCATGTATGAAAATTATCCATAGATGTGTTAAGGGTTTTAGCTTTTTTTTTTTTGTAAATTAAGGGCAAGCACGCGAGATCATCACTGAGTTAACGCTAGACAGAAAATTGTCTGTGTGTGTGTAAATTGGCATTTATCAGGCAATCCATTCTTGTTGGGGCGATTCCTTATGGTAAGAGAGGAACTGTGTGGCCCAAGTTTCTTTAGAATGTAGTCAAGTTTAGCTTTTTGCAACCGCATGCACTGGAATACATAAACGTAATTAAACCAAACTATCTTACCCCTTGGTTTTGCGGGGCAGATTGACTGCATTGACATCATGACATCATACATGTATATCTCCGATAATTAGTCAGTTATGCCGCGAACAAACATGCAGCTATCTATTTATTCTGCCAAGTGTGACAGTGGTAGTGGTACCGGCAGCTTGTATTTCCAAATCAGCTTATTCTCAGCGAACAAACATAACTAACATTCTGAGCTTTCAGGTATCAGAACTCTTCTTCTTCAAAATTAGATCACATCATTACTTACTTTTTTCAAAATGATTTTAATATTTCAACCCCGACTGACAGAGCAGCAGCAGAAGGTGATTTGTTTCACTCCTTGCAAAATAAGCTAACTTTCAGTAATTTGAACAGGTCACCTGGAGCCCCTTTCTTGAAAGTCCCTGTAACTTTCCGGGCTAGAAAAAATATATATATTTAAATCCAAATTTTAAAAGTAGCCAACTAACAAATCAACAAACCAAAAATCTAGTCCATTTTGTCTTGGTAACAGATAGTTTTACAATGTTATCTGCAAGCTGGCAAATGAAACCTCGATCTTCAATGTAAACAACAACAGCTTTCCGCAAAGAATTGAATGGCTGTTCCCACGGTGTTTTCATGAAATTAGCTAGCTGTGTCTTGGCCTACAACACCCTCTGAAAGAGGACATGAAAGTTTCCACTCAGTCTTGAAAAACAGTCAGATACTTTGGCAAGAAATCGGTGTGAGGAATTTGAAAAATCATTTCACTAGACTAAGAGAATTATTATTAAAAAAATAATTCTCTACACTGGTTTTCTTCGTCCATTCGATTAGGATGTTATCATTTCAAATAAGTAGTTAGTTTATAGATCAACATCCAACCATCGATCGACAGTCACCGTTTTCTTGTTTATTTGTCGAATTATTCGGAGTTTATTTGAGGTTTAAATGTTTGCGGTTTTCTAAATTATAAACCGTGAAGTTGCTTTTTATGTACAGCAACGCCTCAAAGGGGAAACCGTCAGTATACCGGTACGTCTGGTAGCTCCGACCTGGGCTTTTTTTTCGTCGTCTTTTTTTGTCTTCAATCTCCCCTCTACATTCAATTAATTTTTAATTTAGAAATAAAACATTCATCATCACATTAATATCATTGCGCTTAATACAGTTAACTTCTTATTCCAAGAAAAAAGAAAAACATTCGCGCGTTTATCCAGCTGGGCGCTACATCGCAGAAAGATATTCAGTCCTTAATTTCAAGTAAGAAGCACGTAGTACTTGGCTCTGATAAAAGGTATTTATTGATAGCCATGTTTCATCTTCGACGCCTATTGGAAGATCCCGAGCCTAAATCTGCCCAAATTGCAACTGGGGAGCCACGGCCAGAGAGACCCTTCAATACTCCTGAGAATGAGCCTCACTGGTATAAATCCAGCCATGAACCTGAGCCCAATACCATCATGCCAGAGATCATGACCAATCAAGAAGCTTTCCTCATGTACGGCATTTTCATCTTTGCTCTTACTGTTTTCTGCGTCGTGCTGTTGATTATGTTCATCTACTTAAAACAGCAGTAAGTAACAATTCATGTTGTC